GCATCCCTTCTCATGACTGCATCAAATCTTACTGGCAGCCATGTTTGCCAGCAGTTACACTGGTGTTGCCCAAGTGTTTTCTGGGGTGAACAGAAAATATGAACATGTAAAAGCAAACCTTGGAAGACTCACATGGAGACTGTAAATTTTAAATGGGATTGGATTTGAAAGAGGGTGAAATGGATTTCAGCAGTACTTTGAGTGTTGCTGGAAGTGTTCAATAAGGGAAATACAATTTAACTGGTAGAAAGATGAGAGGTTGTTTGAGAGGCTGGCCACTAGAGCTTGGGGCCCCAGCTCTTTCATTTGGATCGCTGGGGGATCCCCACCCCCCTGCTGCCCAGGGCAATTGTTGAAATAAAGGCCTAGCGGTCCTGAGGAGCTGCCTTTTGGGCCATGTGCACTTCATCTCCTGCTCCCCCCGCCCCACCTTGAACCCTTTGCCTTGAGGTTTTTGAGAGAAAGAGAGATCAAATACCCTCCTCTCCCCTGTTCATGCATTCCTTTTTCAAGTAGGAGTGCCTTTCAAAGAGGCAACATCCTTTAAATACAGAGAGGTACACACTTTAAGGCTTAGGTAAATTAGCGTATGTACATTTATACATATTTCTGGTCCTGTGGGCCTGAGCCTAACAAGCTCCCCACTCATTAAAGATCACGTAGATGCTTTACGTTAGACGCTTTCACTTTAAGCTGATCTTTGTACAGCTTTTTAAATGGTTTGATTATATAGTCTATTTCACTGAGCTTATTAACAATGATCTGTAAGCCATCTTCTGAGAGTTCCTCTTGCTAAGACACGATGTATAAAACTGTGAATAAATAAGAACAAATATGTTAGGCAGCTTTCATACTTGAACTATAGGCTGGAACCCAATCTAACTGGGGTGTTCAAGTTAGTGTACAAATCAAATTAGTGTACACATCCCTGGCCTCTCTGTGAATACTCTGTGCAGTTGTATAGTGTTTCAAATATCCAACACTGTCCCTTGCCAGAAGGCACCAAATTATCACCGAAGATAACATGTGGACCAAATATTTGGTGCAATAGAGTTTCTGGAATATTTGGTGCAATGCATTTATTTTTGAATAAGTGGTGCAGTAGAGGTTTTGTTTTGTTTTTTAATTAAGTACAAAATGCCTTATTCTTTCTTTTTCCCATTGACTGCCTCTAAATTCAGATGGGGACTGAGTGTTCTGTTTCATCTTTATGTTGAAATCTCAGCAGCACTGCCATTGGTGACTGTCCGGCTTAGTTTGCACTACAGAGAAGTATCAACTGACATGAAGGTGATGGGAAAGGGATTCAGCTTAGTTCCTACTGGATCTCATTTCCCCCTTTCCAACCATTCAGACATCAGGATGCTAAGGTCTGGTCTTGCACATTCCATATTGATTGCATTTGTCTGTCTATTCCAGTGGTAAAGAGGAGCTTAAATTCTGGTGCTGACATTTTACAGGAGCATGCTTGCATTTATTTATTTATTATTCATTCATTCATTCATTCATTCATGTATTTATTTCATTTATTTCATTTTTATACCACCCAATAGCCAAGAGCTCTCTCTTGAACATGCCTCATCTGGAACAGTTTCCAAACCAAGCACAGTAAGTTGACCTATAGGCCTCCTGAAGCTGTGGAGATGCCTTCACTAAAGTGGAATCACTCTTGGATGATATCTGCCCTACAAAAAATATGCCTTTTTAGCTGTAAGACTAACTTCCTGCTCCCACAAAAAATGCTAGAGGCCCTTAACATGCATGCCCCTCCCAGGACTTCAGTTCCCAGAGTACCCTTCGGACAGGGGATCTCTGCTTTTTGTCAGTAGAGCAGGTGTCCTGCACTCTTGCTGTAGCCCATTCCCACAGGAGATTTTGCTGCTCTCAGTTTCACAGGTATATTCCCAGAAACAGTTCTGTGTCGGCACTAGTTTTGTAATGGCCATATCTTCTCCCTGGGGCCTCACTGCCTTGGTGCCCACACACCATCCCTGTGGGTCTGAGAGCATGTCTTTCCTACAGGCTTGGGAACAAGCCCTCCCTTTGGTATGGAGTCAGGAAGGGGTAGGAAGAGCTCAGTTTTTGACAGATTAAAACAACAGCGGCCACAATGGAACTGTTCTCCTACGGAATAAATTTTGTTCATTGGAGGTAGGTTTAAGAATGTTTTCAGAAGCAGTGGGACAGATCATGGAACCCATCATGAGTTCTCCATGTATCCGTCTTTCTATATCTATCATGCTTTTAAAGCACTCAATAACCCAAGTTTTCTTATCAGTGCACAAATCAGGAACAACATAAAATATAAACAATAAATGCGAAAGATGAACAGGCCGTAGTAAAACCAAGATCAAATCAGTGCAAAGAGTAACAATCAAAACACATAAGACTGAAGCAAAACCATAGAAATAAAAATACATTGACTTAAAGGCACTAAAACATGTCTGAAGATGACTAGGAGAATAAAAACACTTTCACTTGGAAATGAAAAGGCATCAGGCAGCCCCTCTGAGAGCAGGTGCTAGAGATGGGATGCCAGCACTGGAAAAGCCCTCTGTCTTGTAGCTTTTTGTCTTGCATTATTTGGCCTCCTTTGGCAGGTGCACCAGGAAAATGGGAGCCTTGGATGATGATCATAAAAGTCCAAGTGGAGGTACTTTCAGGTAACCTGTCCCAAAGCCATTTAGGGTTCGTGTAAATTCTACACTGAGCCCAGGAGTGGAATGTCTGTTGAGCTTTAATCCCCCTGTGCAGTTTAGCCTGCCACATCAGAGACTAGCATTCCCCCGGCTTTGCCCTCTTAGAATCATAGAATAGTAGAGTTGGAAGGGGCCATGAAGGCCATCAGGTCCAACCCCCTGCTGTTGCAGGTCACCAGTTTACACCATCCCATTCAGATGGCTGTCCAGTTGTTTTTGTTTTTTGTTTTTTAATGTCTCTAGTATAGGAGATCCCACCACCTCTCCAGGCAGCTGGTTCCACGGTCATATTGCTCTGACCGTGAGGAGGCTTTTCCTGATGTCCAGCCTGAATCTGGGTTATCACAGCTTGAATTGATTATTCCGTGTCCTACACTCTGGTATCAGCAAGAAGAGATCTTGCCCTTCCTCTTTGTCTTTGATGTACTTATAGAGGGATAAGTCTCTTCAAAGGTCTCGGGTTAGAACTCTTATCTTCATTCAGCATGGCTGGGTAGATGGGCGCTGTAGTCCAACACATCTAGTTTGGGCTAGGTTCCATAGACTCTCCCCTGCGGCTTCTTCATTTTTCTCTTAAGGTGAGAGCAGTTTGCATCTTAATAGTTGGACAGCTGGCCCGAATGATGTCCCCAAAACAAGGCTCTCTCGAATATTTCTGTTATGTAAAATAATCTGTAGGTTCTGAGTATTGGTGTCAAGTCCTATGTGGTGCTTCCATCAGCCTCTGCCATTATATTTTATGTCAAATAGCTGGGTTTTACTGGCCTGATATAGTAAGTTTACAGCACAGGAAATGGTAATTCATTGTAATTGCTTTCATATTGCCAGCTTTTTTTTCTTTAGAAGGAGTTTTGCTTCTGGGCTTTGAGCAGCAGCCACCTGCTGGAGCTGCAGGCCTTCCCTGGGTTGTGGCTTAATGTATCGTGTTAAGATTGATCACCAGAAAACATTGAGTAAACATGAAGTGGAGGGAGGTGAAAAACTGGTGAGCTTGCTGTAGGTTTTAGGTGCAGGCAGGTTGGTAGTGGTGGTTGGAAGTTTTGTCACATTTCCATGTGTTTGTAAAGTGCACCACAACCTCTGCTCCATTCCTCCCTCCTGCCCTAACCCCCAGACTTCACTTTTCTGCTAGTTCTGGTAGAGTCTCATTCCCAGATCCTCATTATCACCACTATACTTCTCTGGGATGCATTTCTGGATATAGCAAGGAGAAAACGAAATGCCATCCATTATCCCCTCCCAGCTTGCTGTTGTTCCTATTCAAATCTATGCAAATGAATCAAGGATGGGGGCAGGCTCTGGCTCTCTCCGCTGGTGAGAATTTGGGGGGTTTGAGTCCAGATGCCGCAGGCGATGACTAACTGTGCACAGAACAAACAGGGTAAAAATAGCCAGAAACTGGAGATGCACCAGATGGTACCAACTCCTGGGAAGACAGTGGGGAAGGAATGGTGCTCTTCCCCCCTGCTGGGCATTTGGGGATGGGACAAGACAGAGGGTCCCTACCTCCCAGCTCCTCCCTCCACCTGTGGTCCCTATGTCTCATCTTTCCTCCAGTGCCAGACTATTTCCTTTTTTCTCTGCTCTGCACTCATGCCGGGGCTTCTACCTTTGCATTTCTAATCCCTTGCACACTTCCCAGGAAGCTCTCTGCCTTCCCAGTAGTCCGAGGGGTCCCTGCACAGCTGCTGCTCCCTATGTTGCAGCCATCCTTTTTCAATAGTTTGAGCATTTGTGTGTCAAACGTATCCTTGGCATGTTACCTTAAATTGCTGCTCTCCTCGCTTTCTTGCACGTACATAGCTGCACTGGGATGCAGTCCTGTGCATGTTTAGACAGAAACAAGACCTACACTTCCTACCATGGCTGGTTGAGGAACGTTGGGAGTTGCTGGGACTGTCTTCTGTCTCCAAGGCGCATCCTTGCTTGCTTAGGGCTGTTGCTGGTGCAGCCTTCCTAACACTACCGATCAGAGGGCCTTGTGAAGCGATCCTACCTTTTCCGATTGAACCAATTTCCTGCAGTAAGAGATGGACGAGGTGGTGGGAAAATCTGGGAAGGTTACAAGTGGCTTAGTGAAGGATCCTTGCCAGATCTTTGCAGTGGTGCAGTTACAATCAAGCTTCTTGGTGCAAATCATCATATGTTTGCATTATTAAAGGGCAGGATATTATGCATCAGCCCAAAGGCTAAGGGATAATGGTTTGCCAAAAGGCTACTGAATATATAAGGATGGCTCTTAGTTTAGGTCTGTCCCAGACTGAAAGCCTCCAACAGGGTGTTTTTCTTTCTCTCTTGCAGACAGTAATTTTGTCCTGGGCAATGCCCAGGTGCGTGGCGCCTTCCCCGTGGTTTACTGCTCCGATGGCTTCTGTGAACTAACTGGCTTCTCCCGGGCTGAGGTCATGCAGCGCTGCTGTGCCTGCAGCTTCCTCTATGGGCCCGACACCAGTGAGATCGTCCGCACCCAGATCCGCAAGGCCCTCGATGAGCGCAAGGAATTTAAGGCCGAGCTTATTCTTTACAGGAAAAGTGGTGAGTCCTCCCACCTTCCCCAAAACAGGCTGCAGTGACAAGGACTCCGTGCCTCTAGGAGTGGGGTGGGTCCCATTCAGAGGATCTTGGTATACTTCCTAAAAAGGAGACTGATTTTAGGTGTCCACTTTTGCATTGCCTGAAAGGAGATGCATCATCCAAAGAGCACAAAGGAGGGCATCTTTTGCATCATTTTTACACGCGCTGATTTGTACATACGCTTACAATTTTAGAAATAATGGCTAGAATTTAAATAGAAACGGTTGCACCATACTGTGGAAGACTGTGGCCAGGTAACGTTTGCACTTGCTCCTCCTGCTGTCTGCGGCTGGGCAGCTTCAGGGCCCTGCCCACAATCCCATCGTATGGTTCTTTATCTTAAAGTTCAATTTGTAGAGGACAAGCCAAGTATTAAAAGAGAACGCATGGCTACCCCAGGGGAATTGCTGGGCAGAAGCCCGTCTGGAAAGCGTGCTGTCTGTCTTAGCCTTGGAGCAGACAGGCAGTGGGGGCAGCCAGACGGAAGGTGGACAGGTCCCCTACTCCTTCAGTAGTTGTGTAGGAGAGAAAGTTTCAAGGGGTGTAAGTTGTCCGGTTAATTTCCCCTCTTCCCTATATATCCTGACATCAGGGCTGGCACCAAGAGTAGGCTTGGCTGGACACCTGCCATGGCCTTCAGCTCTGCAGGGAGGCCACTGTCAAAATCTTGACCAGTCTGCCCCTCCTGTTCCTCAGCCCACCTGTACTTCCCTAGCATGCAAGTGGTAACAAGAGTGAGGAGAGAGGGAGAAAGAGAGCAGCTTCGTTTGCTTGCTCTGCGCTCTCCTGCTGGGCGGTGGCACAGATTGGGCCCAGGGGGAGCCTGATCTGTCATTATGCAGCAAAGAAAGAAAGAAAAGCCAAGAGGAGAGGCGCTCGCCCAGGGAGAGGCCTGCTGACGGCATATTCCCTCCGGGCTCCCCAAGGGCATTCTGCCCCAGGGCCCCCCAAAACCTGGCACTGGCGCTGCCTGGCACACTCCCATCTCTCAGCGGAAGCATCTGTATTGCCAGGGAGGAAGCAATGGGAAGGCGAGAGGGGCCTGTTTCACATTGCTTTTTAACAGAGCCTGCAGATAGACACATCTTTTCAATTGCCAGCTTTTGTACCCTGCATGCTGTGACACACTCCTTTTCACAAGAGATGTTTCCGATGTACACAAGAGATGCTTCGGGTGTAACATGGGGGTGCAGCAAAGATTGTATGGCAAGGATGTACCATCTACAGGCCCTCAGAAGCATCAGGGCATTGAAGGGACATGAGGAACCGTCTTAGATGGGAGCCGGGGCCAGGCAATGGCACAGGCATCCTGGTAGTAGCAAGACAGAGAGATGCAGGAGCTGAGGCTCTCCAGAGGACCAGGCAGAAGTCTCAGAGGGTGAGCGTAAGGAAAGGACAGAACATTATCAGCTATTTAATGTGCTGGCCTTGCATTTTTACTGCTAGGCATGGGGAGATTTGTGTTTCAGGTCCCAGAATAATTTGACCGGCTTTGAATATGGTGCACTTTCACTTGGCTTCTGGATGGGAGCATTTGCTGTGCAGCCTCAAGGGGGAAAATGGCTTGGGCTGGCCCTGCAAAGCATGGACTTTACCACTGAGATACGGTATCAGCAAAGGTTGTTCTCCTTGCTGACATGCCTCTGGGAATGGGCGAGGTGGGTCGGGAGGAAGAGGCACCAGCTCTGCATGCAGGAGGGTGACCTGGAAAAACTGTCGGAGACTCTGGAGAGCCACTGCTGGCAGTCCGTGCCAAGAACAGTAGGCCAGAGGGATGCAGGATCAGACCCGGTGCAAGACAGTTTCCTATGTTTGCTGTGCACAGGCGGCCTCACTGTGGTGAAGAGGACTGAGGTTCCCGCAGGCCCTTGCACAGCAAGGCAGAGGACTGACCTCTTGTGCACGTAGCCCTGAGGGGGAGGCTGTGGGCTTCCTTTCTTCCATTTAAGTGCTTGGCATTTCAAAATGAGAATAGAGATTGGTGGACCAGAGAAGGGCGGCAGTTTATTTATTGTTTCTTTATGTGTTGCAAGTAGATCCCACTTTGCAGACACTTGTTCTCAGGGAAAGGAGAATTGAGCTCTCTGCAACTGTTCCTTTTCTGACCAAACAATGAGCCAGGTTCATCTCCCCCTTGGTGTGATGTTATGATCCAAGAGTATGATTTCTTACCATCTCCCAAGATGATAATCTCTCATGCCTCCTTGCCTTCTAGGTGTCCCCTTCTGGTGTCTCCTGGACGTGGTACCTATCAAGAATGAAAAGGGAGAAGTGGCTCTTTTTCTGGTCTCCCACAAGGACATCAGCGAGACCAAGAGCAGAGCATCTGCAGAAAACTGGAAGGAAGGAGGTGAGATTAGGCGAGGCTTAATGTTGCTAATTGTCCCTTGGACTGCTCGATCTGAGAGGCTTAAGAACTGTTAAGCGAATGTGTGACAAGTCATACAGGCTTCTCCACCTCTTGCTGGACTTGTCATGACGCTGAGAGTCAGGCGACCTGGTTCTTCAGGTGTTGGACTGGGGCTCAGGAGATCTAGCGCCCACTTAACTGCAAAGCTCACTGAGGGGCTTTGGGCCAGTCACTCGATCTCAGGCTAAGCTGCTCACAGGGCTGCTGTGAAAATAAAAAGGAGAGGAGGAGGGAGACCCTGTGCCCTGCCTTGATCCTTGGAAGAGAGAAAAGGGCAGGATGTAAATGCAGTAAGTAAGTGGCCCGTTCCCACCTCCTCTCAGCTAACAAGATGATGCCACCATTTTTAGTCAACGGTTCTCAAAGAGGTTGCGTGAACAGATGCTGAAGGGGCTGTGAATGAGGGCAGGTAAAACAGAGACCAAGAGAGGAAATAGCATTGCTTCAAATGCCAACTTTTTCGGGAAGGCCCCACAATAGCAGAGCTGGTGGCGTGTTTCCTTCCTGCCACCTCCTCTGCTGGGGTTTTTGCAGCTGCAGGCAAGGCTGGTGAAGATTCCTCCAGCCTCGCCACTCGCTTGTCACCTGTTGCCGGGACAAGAGCCACTCCTGTTAGTTGTGTCACTATTTCACTTGCCAACCCCCTGCAAATTCACAGGTGAAAAGGAGGCTCTTTTCTTTTTGGATGCTACAAGAACAACCTGAAACTTTTTCTAATTGCCCTTTGAATTTGGTTCCATAAATGCAGTTGGATTTGATACATGACATGTGCCCCTCCCGCTGGGGTCTTTGTCATGTTGCTCTTTATCTTATTGTGCCTTTTTGTGAGGTTGCTGATATTCTCTTCCCAGCACTCAGGCTAACGCAGCAGTGCTGAGGATTCTTTGCCACGGAGAACGCTGACGTTCAGCATCATGTCAGTCAGCACAGCCATGGTCCTGAGGATAATCCGTAGTCATGTCTCCAGCATGCATGTGTTCATATCCAGCGTTTCTGTTATTTATACTCAAAGGAGCTCAAAACTCCATCACACAACACAGGCATCCAAAGCCAGTGAGCCAGAGGATCTGCCACTGCAGCTAACGATTCCACTGCTTCCACTACAGTCTCCCACTTTCTCACTCTGCCATACCATTTCTTCCAACATCTCGGCCAAATAAATCTGACTTGTGCACTCCCAGGCAGTTTTTGAATGATCTGCACAATAGCTGCACATTTCTGCTCAATTTACATTGCAGGGGAAGACAAGAGACCGAGATCCCTGCTTCCTGATGGGTAGGAGCCCCGCTCAGCCCTTGGCTTGTGGCTTCACCAGGCCTAGCCTATGCACCTGCAAGCCTTTCTTCTCAGGACCAAACTAGACGTGACATGAAAAGGGCAATTCCTTATGTGTTTCCTTCAGGGGCCTTGGAAATTGTGGTTGTAGCAGCACCTTTTTGGCCCTGCGCCTGGACATGATTCCCCTTTTTCTCTTCTTCTGCACATTCATGTGCAGTGCGCTGTGCCCTCTGTTGCCCATTCCAACATCTCCAGTAAATGTGACATTTTATGCACAAATTACTTTGGCAAGCAGCATCTCTATCTAGGCGGGACTACAAAGAAATTTCCAAATAAGACTGCAAAATCTTGCACAAGAACTATTGTCACACATTTCTGTCTAATAGATAGGTGTATGTGGGGGATCATTCAATTAATAATCACATCTAGTTTGGCCACCAGGACTAGAAACTTAAGTAGATATGCTGCAGCGGTGCTTGAAGGATTGAAATCAGAGGGCTTGGGTGCAATACATTTATGGAACATAGGAAGCTGCTTTATCCTAGCAGCTTCCCATGTCCCATGGCTGTATCCAGCATCTTGCTCAGCATCATCAGGAGGGCCTTTTCTGTGGTGGTGCCCCAACTGTGGAATATACTCCCCAGAGAGGTTCGCCTGGCTCAACACTGCTTTCCTTTTGGAGCCAGGAAAAAATCTTTTTATTCCCCCAATATTTTAATTGTTAGATTGTTTTAATTTCTGGTTTTACACCGAATACTGGATGGTGTGATATTTTTACTCTTACTTGTATTTTTATTCTGCTTTATCAATGTTGTTGTTAACCATCACAAGACGTTTGTGAGGGGATGTATAGAAAAGTTTTAAATAAATAAATCAGCTATTGGTAGCTGGCTGCCCAGGGTTCTAGAGCAAAAGTCTTCCTTAGCCCTACCCGGAGATGCCAGAGGCTGAACAGAGGACTTTCTGCCTGCAGGGCAGCCTCTGCCAGTGAGCTGCAGTCAACCTGGACACTCTTTGCTCTGCCTTCTGGCTTGGACTCCTGGTTTTATGATGTGGGTTGGGGTGGGGTGCCTTCTTCCTCCTCCCACATTTGGAGATTTATGTGTGCAATATTGTGCTTGCGTTTCCTTGAGCAGCAATGCCACTCAGAGGATGGAATTACAGCCAATTAGTCCTGCTAGCTAGCAGATCTATTCCATGAGATGAAATTGCCGATGACTCTGTCTGTGCGCAAAATGACTGTTGCTGCCTGCGTACTGTCAGAGCTACTGGGCAAAGAGAAACGCATGGAAGAAAGGCACAGATGGAAGGATATACAGTAACACATGTAAAAGCCCAGACTTTGGCACTGGGAAGAAATGCATTCCAAATTTGGCAATTTCGAGCAAGAATTTTCCTCTCTGACTGTTTCAATAATTGTGAAGAACACCACATCTTAATTCTAGGAATTCATACGTCTAGCAATTCATACTACAAATAAAAATAAAACAGCAATCACTACTCTTAGCCTGTCTGCCGTTCTATATGCACCTGTCTGGAAGTATGTCCAATTGAACCTGGTAAGGCTAACTCCTGAGTGGACATACATGGGACTGCACTGCAACTCTCTCATCAGGGAAGGACTCAGCGTATCAGAGTCATACGTATCCCAAGAATGTGATTTTAATGAGCAGATGATCCATTTTAATAAATGTTGGTTGCAGATGCTTCCTTTGGAGGGCTAGAACTCAAAGCTTTATCACCAAAATTTAAGCACCACATATGTATGAGGTTCACCTGAAGCATAAATCCATTTCACTAAAAGAAAAGAGACCAGCTTTTGAGATCTCCTTTGCAAATCTGAGAGCAGAGGCTTCCATAAGAATGCAGGCCGACACTTCTTGACTGGATCTTCAGAGTGATGCCTGACTTCTCTCCTCAGTAGGTGGACGGCGACGTTACAGCCGTGCTGGGGCCAAAGGTTTTAACGCCAACCGTCGGAGAAGCCGAGCAGTGCTGTATCACCTGTCGGGGCATCTCCAGAAGCAGGGCAAAGGGAAGCGCAAGCTCCATAAGGTATGTGGTGTGGGAAAACTCTAGTGAAGGAGCAAAACTTCCAGACGTTTAATGGTCACTAACATTCAGAGCAACAAGGACACTCTCGGGTCAGGGTCTAGATGCCATTGGTGGGTAATGGCACTGTCTGTCTATCCCTACATAGCAGATGAGCCACTTTTCATCTGTGTTCCTGTGTTATGGATACTTGGAAAAATAGCCCAGTGGAACAAAATCTACAGTCAAAGCAGCCTGACCAATCAGGTAAAATACGATAAGCATCATCACACAAGGAAAACAACAAACTAGCAAGGCCATTGGGTACTGCTCCCAAAAGCACAACGGAACAGAAATGTTTTCATCTGTTTGCAGAGTGTCAGTGTTGGGACCAGATGGAACTAACGGATGGAGGACACTCCAGAATTCTAGGGGCATCACTGTAAAGGCCCTGTTTCTCGTGGACAGCACTCTGTCATCTAAATAGAATTATTCTTGAAATAGAACATCGGGATTGGTTGATCACATTTGGGAGGAGGCGTTTCCAGAGATAATTAGCCCTTTAGCGGTATAAAGGTCAAAAACAGCACCTTGAGATGGGCTTGGAAACAAATCAGTGAGCCATGTAGGTATTTTAGTACAAGTGCCATGCAACTATGCCAGTTTGTGCCCGTCACCATTTGGGCCATGGCCCAAATACCAATTTAGTATTTGCAGTGCTAAATATCAAATACTGATTGAAGCTTCTGAATCGATCTATCAGGGCAGCCCCACATTTATAGCAGACTAGCCTGGAAGATACGAAACCCTGAATATGGCCAGGTTTCCTTTGCTAGAGGCTACAGCTGGCTTAATAGGCAACTAGGGACTGCATCAACTCTCTGGGATTCCATAAGTGAGCCAGGGTCCAAGATTATGCCTGAGCTATCTGGCGTATGTCCTGGCACCAGGGATGCACCATGGGGCAATTATTGCTGGCTGAGGCCCTCAGGAGGACCACCACCAATCTTGCCGCTAACCTAATGCAGCAGCTTCAGCCACTGGGCCGGCAGTGCCCAGTGCAAGAGCCCAGGTGGCCTGGGCTGGTGCCCACCATTTCAGTCCCAAGATAACCTCTGCAGCTGGAATGGAGCTTCACTTTCTATATCATGGCTCTGGGGGACTGTGGGGGAATTAAAAGGTAGCCAGGTAGTCCGGCTTTCTTGCAGCTGCTGTGCTTGCCGGTCACTCTGGAAGGGGGTGGGGGCACAGAATGGCAGGGAGGGAGAGAAGGTAGAAGGGAGGGTTCCCAGGGCCCTTCCAAATTTGTCACCAGCCCTGCAAACCCCACGCTTGATCCTTCGGCATACGAAGAATGTGCTCCTGTCTAGAATAGGCCTTTCTTCACCCAGCTGGCCTGCTGGGCGCTTCACTAAAACCTCCTTTCCATACAGGCCAGATTACGTTTATGTTAATAAACAGGTGAGATGGTGCTTCCTTTTAAAGGCCTTTTGAAAATAGTATGCAGTGCTAAAGATTTGCATGGCTGATTTTTCTCAGATGCAGAGAAGGCAGGCACTTGGTCCAGGGAGGCAGGCTTCTGTGCCCAAATTTCCTTGCTTGGCCACGAGCCCAAGGCTGGAATGGCACACGCCTGGAAATGTGAATCCATCCATTTGCATGCCTTTGCTTTCAATGGGGGACATGCAGCCTCTGCAGGTGCAGCTGGAGCTCCATGTGCTGGCACAGCTTGTCTTGTGTACCAACAAGCAGCTGGGGCTGCACTGCACTGCTGAGTCCAGCAGTGAAATTTTCAGTGCTGCTGCTTTTTGTTGGCATGACCATTTGTGCTCTAGGAATTTGTACAGCCCTTTGAACAGGTTCAGCAGGACAGGGACTAGCATCTTAAAATAGTGACACAAGCTAATATTATTAAAGAAAGTTCTAGTATCAGTTGAAACCCACAGAGTCATGGGGTTATGGAGGCAGGGCGAGTGTGGCTGGAGAAGGGGCAGGGGACTGATGGAGAGAAGAAGAGGATGGGAGGAGGGCTGGCAAGGAGATGGTGACTGGTTCAGATGACACAATAGCCCAGACGCCAAACGTTCAATATGGCTTGTCCTCGAGCCCTGGGTTTGAAACGTGGATTGCTGCGTTGCCTGGCCACAGCTGCATTAACAAGCCATGGCTTGAAAGCCAACCAGAATCTATGGTTTGTTTTGGGGTTGTGAATTGTGGATTTGTTGCCATCGGTTGTTACCTCAGCTGGGTTCCGAGTCCACATGATAACCCACATGCCAACCATAGTTCAGTGACAAACCACGCTCAGCCCTTGATTATTGGCTGTCTGTACCCAGTTGGTGCAGTAGATAGAAAGAGACTTTGGAGCCACATGAAGGACCTCTACCTTTCTTCCCTTGCTTGGGAGGAGGAATGAGTCCATCTTAGGGATGATTGGCAGGGTGTGCACATCTTGCATTGCTCATGTGTCCCTGGGAAATGTTGTTGGCCATTGTCAGAGACGAGGAATGGGGCGAGATGGGCAGCCCAGTAAAACACAGGGGTTCCCCTGCTTGTAATTCTTTAGTAGCTATAAATCAGCCTTAGCATCAGTAGCTGTAAGTCAGCCTTCCGCAGCCTGGTGCTCTCAGGTGTTTTGGACCACATTTCCCACCAGCACCAAGCAGCAAGGTAAACAGTGACAGACGCTGGGTGTTAAAACCTAATGCATCTCAAGGGGTGTTCAAGTAATCAAAGACTGGGCTTTGATACGATTCTTGTTTTGCCACCGCGTGGCTCCCTGGCCTGAGAGCGCCTTGCCACGATGCTGCCTCTTGCCCCCTTGTGGCACGTGGGGGGCTTGGCTGTATGGACTGTGGCTGAGATGGGGACCACCTGCTTTGGAGGGAAGTTGCAACCAGCGGCCCTGTCATTTGAAATGGTGGCCCCTGCTATCCTTCTCTCCCCAGGGCGTCTTTGGGGAGAAGCCTGCGCTCCCCGAATACAAAGTGGCCGCAGCACACAAGTCGCCGTTCATCCTGCTGCATTACGGGACCTTCAAGGCTGGCTGGGATGGGCTCATCCTTCTGGCCACACTGTATGTGGCGGTGACGGTGCCCTACAGCGTCTGTTTCAGCGGCACGAAGGACGAAGGGCTTCCAGAGGCTGCCCGGGCACCCCCCAGCGTCTGCGATCTCTCTGTCGAGATACTTTTTATCCTAGGTAAGGAGGAGAGGATGCAAAAGCAGCAGCTCAGGCAGAGAGCGATTTCTGCAAGCGGAAGTCCCCCGCTTCGGTCCCCAGAAGCATCTCTGCCTAAAGGGGCCAGATGGCAGCCAATGAGAAGATGTGGGGGCAGCCACTGGGGGAAATCTCCGATGCCAGCCTCTGCGTATTTTGCACTAGCACGCCCATCGGCCCCGGCCAGCATGGCCACTGGTCAGGGATGTTGGGCGCTGGAGGGCAGCAGCTGCAGTGCCCCCGTGCCAGTTTATAAAAGTTGAGGGTGCTAAGGAATTGGAGGGAGGCAGCAGGTGGCACAGTCCCAAAGCAGAACTGATGCTTGCCCCACGGGGCACACCCTGTTTCTTTTGTCAAAGCTTTGCTCCAGCAGCTGGCACATCTCTGGCCGCCTCACTCCACTCAGCCCAGGTGGGCAGCTCTTCCAGTGCGGTGTCTGAGCCCGTGTGGTGTAGTCGTTAAGAGCGCAGCTCAGGGACTTGGGCAGTGGGGGGTCTAGTCCCTGCTCTAGTCCCATGGAGCCATCTGGATGATTCTGGGTCAGTCAGGCTCTCCCAGACCAACCTACCTACAGGGTGGTGGTGGTTGTAGGGATAAGATTGAGAGCAGCAGGAGGACAACTGAGATCTGTAAAAAAAGAAAAGGGCAGGATATGAATCAAATAAATAAATAAATACAGGCAGTCCCTGGGCTATGAACAAGTGCCATTCCGGAGAAAACAGAAATTCATCTTTAAGTTAAATTTGTATGCAGATAGAATCATGCAGAGTAGGCCTTCCACATGCATGGGGGTTCGTGGTGCAGGACCCCCGTGAAAGTGGAAAAACCACAAATATCTCAACCCCCCCCCCCCAACTCACCAGTGCTGCCACTTTGTAGCAAGGAAATGCTGGAGAGATTTCCCTCTCCCAGTGGGCAGAGCAGGAAGGCCTGCTTTGGAGGTTCTCCCTCCCTTTTCCCTTCTTCTCTCTCTATGGTGATGGTGATTTCTTGCAGTATTTTTTAAGCAATTAATAGGCTTTATGGCAGTTTGTTGGTAAGTACAGGTCGCTCGTCGCTTGGGCATTCCGAACTTGGGAACTGCCTGTCAATAAAGTCATTCTGAGAGACTCTGCACTGCAGCTGCTCAGCAAAGCACGGTTCTTGCGATCGCCGAGGGTCAGTTCCCCTGGACACGAGCCGCTCTCGCTGACTTTGAACCCAAGGGACCGTTTGCATGTTCAGAGCGGTGCTGCAGCTGGGATGGGCCGGATACCGCTGGGACCGGAGGGCAGCTGCGGGAACATTTCCGTAATCGGAGGGGGAAGGGAGTTTCAGCAAAGGCAGCAGGAGGAGGTGCGGGAGGCTCTCTTCCTTCAGGCCCATGGGGTGTCCCCTTCCTGTGCTGGGGGGCTATCCAGGAAGGCTGATCACGCCTCCCTGGTAGGCTCAGGGTCGCGGCCCCTCGTGAATCTCTCTTGCCTCTTTCCAGACATCGTGCTGAATTTCCGCACCACCTTTGTCAGCAAGTCAGGGCAAGTGGTTTTCGACCCGCATGCCATCTTCCTGCACTACCTGACCCGCTGGTTTGTGCTGGACCTCTTAGCGGCACTGCCCTTCGACCTCCTCTACGCTTTCAAGGTCAATGTGGTGAGTCAGCTGCGGGGGCTCCCGCTCGGGGTCTGAAGGAGGCCAAGCCACGCAAGCGGGTCGCAGCACGGTGCCACTCCGAGTGGCCGGGGGCTGGATCGCCACTGCCCAGCGAAACTGGCATCTGGGGCAGGGGGACGGGTGCCACATCACCCCCTGAGCTTGCCCCTCCCCATCCCTCCCAGGATTTCATTTTTGCCTCAGAAAGTGCCACCTTGCCATTCTGCCTCAAAATCCTTGTCTTCTGATGTGGAATTCCTTCCTCCTGAATCTCAGATACCGCAGAGCTGGCTGTCTCCATGGTCTGTGATGACGGTGGTGAATCGGGGATGAGAGAAATATATTCTGTGTACGCTCAGAAGCATGCTTTGCTCCAGCTGCAAAGAAAAATAATGCAAGCTCAGGCACCAGTCCTCTGGCTTGGCTACATTGCCTGAAACAGACTCCAGGGCCAAGAGATAAACAGACATTCGGCACCTTTGCACATCACAACAACCCACCTTTGCTTGGGTTGCTTGTTGTATGAATGACCCACAGGGTGCTTGACAACTTATTGGGCTCCCCTTGGGCTTTTGCCCCCCCCCCTTCCTTCCCCCCACCACTTATCCCAAGGCATTCTGTTGCAGAACCAACCTGCTTGTGCCCCCGCAATGATCTGGAGCCTGTTTTGCTTGCCATGTTGTCTTTTTTTTTTTTTTTTAACAAGATTGTAGTATTTCTTTTAACAGCCATTGACAACCATTGTACACACGAACAGGGATTCGTAAGAGTTGTGTCATGATCCTCATCTTTTATTTTTTCCTCTTGACTATTCTCAGGGTACTGCACATTTTGCACTTTGCCCAAAGTTTTAGCTTCCAGAAAAGTGCAAAAGTGCATCCTCTCATTTCGGTTAGCTGTCAAAATTCTGGCTCCCTTTCAAAATGGTGTTCTGATGGGACGATGGGTAGTTTTGGACTGGAAAAGCAAAGTCAAGAAAAACCCTATTTGGAGCCTCGTGGGGGCTCACTGGAGAATGCTGGAAGTTGTAAGACTTTCTGTCTAAACCTGCATAGGATTGTGCGCATAACTGATTCTCTTCATTTAATTCATTATCGGACCCGACAGACACCCTATTCTCCTTCCAGCTGCCCCACTATCATACGGTAATTTTGAAAATAAATATCTCAGTGTTAAAGTTAATTCAGAAAGGTGCGCATTCATAATGGGCAACCTCCCCCGCCTTAGTGCTTAGGACCCGGGCTGGTGGAGGGCACTTTTCCATCACTTTTAAACCATGTCTTCTCTGCCGGCGCTGCAGCGTCTCTTTCCTTCCACAAGTTGTTTGCTGTTCCCCACCCACCCACCTTGCGTGAGCTGACCCAACTTTTCTGCCTCTCTGTTTTTCTTTTCCCGCCAGTACTTTGGGGCCCACCTGCTCAAGACCGTGAGGCTCCTGCGGCTGCTGCGGCTGCTGCCCAACCTGGACCGGTACTCCCAGTACAGCGCCGTGGTGCTCACCCTGCTCATGACTGTCTTTGCTCTCCTGGCGCACTGGGTGGCCTGCATCTGGTACTTCATTGGGCAGCGGGAGGTCGAGAGCAGCCCCTCCCAGCTGCCAGGGATAGGTGCGTGCCTCCTGCCTGTGCCATCTTTCCGTGTGCGGCCGGTGTGGGACTCAGTGGGGCGCCAGAATGAAAGGCTAGGCCAAGGCATGTGCAACCCGGAGCATCGAGGTCTGCTAGGCCGCAAACTGTTCTGATGGATAAATAAGCCATGGCAGGGCCACTTGCACTCGGGGTGGGTGGGCAATGAGTAACGAGAGCTGTGCTGTATCAGAGCACAGGTCTGTCTGCCCCAGTACTCTGCACACCTGGTGGATGGCCGTGCGGACTCTGCCGGCCGCACGGGGCAAGTCGGCAAGCGCCGAGGGCAGCTGCAGCTCTCCAGATTAATGAGCAGAGCTCGTGCTGAAGTGCTCGCGGCTTGATGCACAGTGTTTTGTCCTGTTCTTTCAAGGAAGGAAATCAAAGCGAGACCCAGGCCATTCCCAGTGTGGCGTTTATGGACCTCTTCCTGAACTTTTTGGAAAACCTTTTTGTCACACGCTTCCTGATGCCTTTCTTATGTCTACTCTCCCTCATGCCAGAAGAACTCACTGGGGAAAAGAAGTGGGGAAAGGGAGACTTGGTTTGCTACTCCCTTCTGTCTTCCCACCTTGAGATTGTACTCCTTCCCCTGGAGCCCCTGAGGCTAAAGGTGGCCTGAAGTGTCAGGTCAAAGCCTGGCACGTGGCTGGCCTTTCCTACTTCAACGTGGCTGCAGGCCTGCCCAGGAGACTGGAGGGACCCCCAGCTTGTCTGTGCTTGGATTGCCATGCTTCCAAAAGTGTTTGTTTTGCTTTGCTAAAACTAGCTGTGAGAATCAGCTGTGCAGTGGTCCATTTTGAAGGGCAGGTGCTCGTCTCGGCAACCCCCACAGCCCTTCTCCTTAATATGCAGGGCTCAGTGCTCATTTGTCTCTGTGGGTGGCTCTTTTGCAACGCTCCTAGGTCTTTAGTTCCCCTTCAGGGCCAAGCCACCCCAAATGCTGTGCATTACACAGAGCTAGCATCTGAAGAAACACTCACACAGCAATCAACACATGAGCTGAGAGGGGTTCACCTCCCCAGGTGGCAATCGCAACAGCTGTGTGAGTATAATACTCATTAGCTGTAATACTCAGTGCAACCTCCACTACATAGCTCTTGATTCCAGGCATTGAGGGTGAGCATCCAGGATCACCTTCACGCCCGCTTCTTAACCCCCAGAGCCATTTGGCTAGCTGCTGCCAGAAGCCAGATGCCGATTCAGCACTGCTCTTTCCTGGCTCTCTTGACCAAGATGCTGTGCTGCTGGAGGGACAGGCCTTCAGGAACTCGGGGTGTGCTGGGAGGGGTCTTCTAACCTGGCCTTGCTCTTTCCACCCCTCCCAGGCTGGCTGCAGGAGCTGGCTCGCCGCCTCGAGAGCCCCTACTACCTGGTGCAGCGGAACAGCAGCGGCGAAGACGATGCCGCCAACAGGACGAGCCCCAGCCTGAACGGCAGCATGTGGGAGCTGCTGGGAGGGCCCTCGCTGCGAAGCGCCTACATCACGTCCCTCTACTTCGCCCTCAGCAGCCTCACCAGCGTGGGCTTTGGGAACGTGTCGGCAAACACGGACTCGGAGAAGATCTTCTCCGTGTGCACCATGCTGGTGGGCGGTGAGTGCGGCACCTTAGCCTCGTTGGGCTTGTGATGAGCAGCGGCAGCCGGAGGGCACGGCCAGGCCCCGTCTCCATGTCTTCCACTTTCCCTGAGCTTCTGGGCGCTCTGGTCAACATGACAAACCTTCGGCTATTATGGTTTTTGTTTTGGTACAAGGCCGAAGCCAGGCAAAGTGGTTCTCCTGGCCTTAGGCCCTTTCCTTGTGGCAGAAGGAAGCAAGACAGCCTTTTGGGTTTCCATTGTTCAGATGGAGGAATTAAACAAAGTGAAAATGGCCTGTTTAACTTGAGATCCTAAACCTGACGATTGGATGAGAGAATGTGAGAACAGCCAAGATCAGAGAAGGAGTGAAGGAAAGAGCAAGGCCTTCTATTAGGCTTCTCTGTGGCCAGCTTTCAACAAAGCTCTTGCAAGTGGCCCAGGCAGTGGTGTCATCACCATGCATGTATGTCCCCCCCTTTTTCATCCTGTGAGGAACCCAAGGTGACTTGCCTAGCTCCATTTTATCCTCACAACAACCCTGTAAGGTAGGCTATGTCGAGAGGTGTGCTTCAGTGCCAGATGGGGACTAGTACCCAGATGTCGTAGGCCCCCAGTCCAACACTTTAACCACCACAGTCGGCAGGGTTTGTGGCATTTTGGGGCAGGAAGAGGAAGGCCCAGGCACTTAGCTAAGGCCCAGGCTCCCACCTGCTACCCATCCCATAAATCAAAAGTTGAAAAGTTCAGCATGGAGAGTTCTCTACCCAGTTCCAGTTTCTAGCACCCCAGTAAAGCCTCTTTTAAAGCCTAAACCTGGGGGAGCAGTGCAGTTTTGGAGAGGAGGGTTAGCCTTCCCAGCAGCACTAGCACCCCCTGAAAATGGCCCTGTGTGCTGTAATTGGGCGTTATCATCACTGGAGGCTTTTACGAAGCCCCACCTGTCACTTGGAAAGAGGAGAAATCCCTTCGCTCCAGTCTCTGGATGAAAATATGGCCCGTGGGCTGGAGGCTGCCCATCCCTGTCCTATGGGTACACACAAAAAGATGGAACCCCCCCTCACAGCCACACTTAGGAGGCCAAGAGGACAGTCTACTCACGAGGACACATTTTGGGGGAACAGGATGTGCCATGGGGCCCACCTATCACAGCTGGGAATGTGACCACTTTGTTTCCGCAGTCGTTCATTTGCAGGCTGATCTCTTCAACTTCATCTTAGGGCTGCATGCATGCTGCAGAAGGAGACTGGAAGGAAGGGATCGGGTTTTGAAGTGGCAGAATGGATTATGCTATTTAGAGACAGCAGGTAGAGAGCACTGGCAAGCAGAAAACTGGTGGGGCAAAAAGCAAGCTGGGTGAGAGTCTTTCACCTGCAAAGCTGCTTTTTAGCTTGCAGGTGGGATTCCTGGCGAAGGCCCCTCCTAAATCATGATCCAGCTCTTGCAGTCTGAAGGGGTGCAGTCCATTCTGCATCTTGTTGCTGCTCTGTTCTACGGCATGTGTGCAGGCTAGGCCAGAGTTAGAATCATAGTTCAGTAGAGTTCGAACGGGCCAGGAAGGCCATCAGGTCCACCCCCCCTGCTGTTGCAGGTCACCATATTACCCCATCCCACTCAGATGGCTGTCCAGTTTCTCCTTGAATGTCTCTAGTGTGGGAGAGCCCACCAGCTCTCTAGGCAGCTGCTTCCACTGCTGTATTGCTCTGACAGTGAGGAAGCTTTTCCTGATGTCCAGCCTGAATCTGGGCTGTCACAGCTTGATTTGATTAATCCATGCCCTGCACTCTGGCATCAGCAAGAAGAGATCTTGACCTTCCTCTTTGTGACAGCCTTTGAGGTACTTCTAGAGGGGATATCCTGTCCCTCCTCAGTCTTCTCTTCTCAAGGTTTAACATGCCCAGTTCTCTCAGTCTTTCCTCACAGGGCAGCATTTCCAAACCCTGGATCATTTTTGCTGCCCTCCCCTGGACCCTTTCCAATTTACCTGCATCTTTCTTAAATCTTGGTGCCCAGAACTGGACTCAGTATTCCAGGTGAGGTCTGACTAGTGCGGAGTTCCTTGCTCGCAGGCAGGGAAGGCGAGAGTCTTAGCCCCCGAGCCGTGCTTACTCTGTAGGACCACACATTTTGCTCGCCGCAGCCTGTGCCGCGTGCCTGGTTCCACCTCGCCGAGGTGCTCCATGGCACTGGGGGGATGGGACAGGGCCTGTCGTGCAGCACAGCTGCCCCGGGTGATAGTTGCCAGACTAGCTTTGGTCTTGTTCTCTTCTCTTCCCTCGCCGCCCGCCTGCCACCCCAGCCTTGATGCATGCTGTAGTCTTTGGCAATGTGACTGCCATCATCCAACGCATGTATGCCCGCCGCTTCCTGTACCACAGCCGCACACGTGACCTCCGCGACTACATCCGCATTCACCGCATTCCTCCACCGCTGAAGCAGCGCATGCTCGAGTACTTCCAGGCCACGTGGAGTGCCAGCAATGGCATCGATACTCGGGAGGTGAGCACGGAGCCCGCAAAGGCCTGGACTTGGGGGTGTGATGAGCAGCTTCCTCCCCTGGAGCACCGGGCCACCTCCAGGGAGGATTAGGGGAGACAGAGCAGGCGGTCAGCATGCCCTCTTCATGCACGGACACTTCCAGGATGGCGGGGAAGAGGTTCTACCAAGCGAGCCTTCCCCAGCCTGATACGTCCCGATTTTGTGGGCTGCAGCTGCATCAGCCCCAGCCACACGCCTTAAGTCTGATTGTGATAAAGCAAGCTGTTTCCAGCCATTTGGATGCTGGTGGATTTGTGTGAGCTTCCCTCCAGCAAGAGAGCAGCAAAATAATACCAGAATGCTGCACCAAGTACAGCCATGTCAGTTAGTCAGTTCAAGTGGACCTGACTTGGTTGGCATATTTTACTCCGCTTCTGCTGCTCATGGAGAGAGTCCTGAAAAGGCTGGTGTCTATGAGGCCCATGTCACATGCTGGATCAGTGTAGGAGCAAGCTTGAGGAAGGCTGTTCTCTATCTGGCTCGAGCTTGGCAGCTCTGTGTTGCTCCCTTCCTCTTACCCAACCTTCCCTGAGGCAGAGGCAATTTCACAAGGCTCACCCAGGGTTATCCTTTCATGAGGATATGTTTTTTTAACACCATATCCTTGTAGGCATAAGCGCTAGAAGCTTGTGTTATAACAGCAACAAACCTTTAAAATAAAATAAATGTTCTTAAAGTGTTAGATTCATAGATGCATGAAACACGGCAGCATGTTGATCTCAGTGCATTTGCACCTCACCCTTCTTCCAAGAAGCTCAGAACAGTTGAGGTGGCGTCGTCTCATTTGAACTTTGCAGGACCCCTTGTAGGGTCATGACTGGTTGAAGGTTGCACAATGAGCTTCATGGTGGAAGGCAGGCTTCCGTGCAGATCACCCCAGTCCAAATCCAAGATGCAACCCACTGCACCACATTAGACTCTTCTGTAGTTAATGTTGCTCTTGCTCTTATTTATTTATTTATAAAATTTGTATGCTGTCCAATTGCTTGCATCTCTGGATGGCTAACAACATAGGTAAACTGAGGCCAGATTTAGACCCCGGGCCGAGGTTTTGCACTCCCGCTTCGGTTCTTGGTTACTGTACATTGAGACAGGCCCAGTCAGAATCTGTGCTCTGAATGCTGTCGCTCCCGGGCTATAATCTGGGCGAAGAATGGCCATCCCCAACATGTTTGAGCTAGGATGGCGGCAACGTGGACAAATGCTCCCCCTGTAACTACTGCTTGTGTCCCTGCCCTGCCCCCCTGCAGCTGCTGCAGAGCCTTCCGGATGAGCTGCGTGCCGACATCGCCCTGCATCTGCACAAGGAGCTGCTGCAGTTGCCCCTCTTTGAGGGAGCGAGCCGAGGCTGCCGGCGCTCCCTCTCACTCAGCGTCCGCACTTCATTCTGCACCCCCGGGGAATACCTGATCCGGCAGGGGGATGCACTCCAGGCCCTCTATCTCGTCTGCTCAGGCTCCATGGAAGTGCTGAAAGATGGCACCGTGCTTGCTATCCTAGGTACGGCGTCCCAGCTATTTCCCTCCCCACCTAACAGGGATGAGAGATGGTGTGTGGAGGTCTGGTTCTCCATCCGTGTGTGTGTGTGTGTGTGTGTGTGTGTGTGTGTGAGAGAGAGAGAGAGAGAGAGAGAGAGAGAGAGAGAGAGAGAGAGAGAGCGCGCGCGCGCACGCGCGCGCACATGCATGCGAAAGCCAGAGGGATCTAAATGTACCACTATCTTAAAGCTCCTGGCACATGGAAAACTGCAGTGGGCTGCAGGGAAACCGGGCTGGGTGCGAAGCTCTCCCTGTGGCATGTGGGCTTCGGGGGCCAAGTGGGAGGTTACAAAGAGAAAAAATGCGTATGTCCAAACTCCACCACTGCATTTGAAGATGGTGGCACCAATCTTTTTCTGAAACGAAGAGCAGCCTACTGATCCTATCCTGCTCGCAGCTTTGCTTTCCCTTGCCATCAGCTGCTGCTGCTCTCGCACTCATGGGCCTGGTTGAGCTGCTTCGAAAAGAGCGGCCCTGACCGGCCCTGCCCCTGCTCCTGCTCTTGCACGAGAACTGCAGGCCCCGGCTCCTGCACACGCAGCCTGACCTATCCACCTTCATGACACTGCCCACCGAATGGGCTGGATGGAGCCTAGGCTGCCAGTGGAGGGCCACGCATTTCCCGCTGGAGCTATGCTTTTCTGGCAGCTGCCTCACTGGGGTTCACCCTTGATCCTTCGCTCTTCTTCTGCCAGGTAAGGGAGACCTGATCGGCTGTCACATTTCATCCAAGGAGGAAGTGGTCCAAGCCAACGCAGACGTGAGGGGCCTCACCTATTGTGACCTGCAGTGTCTGAGCTTGCCTGGCCTCCTTGGCAGCCTGGAGCTTTATCCAGAATTTGCCAGCAAGTTCCGCCGGGAACTGCCTTGTGAGCTCAGCTACAACCTGGGTGGAGGCAGCATCTTTCAGGTGAGGGGACAACAAAAGCAACACAGGATGACTACAATAAGTGCTGGGGGGAGCGGTCATTGCCTTCTGCAAGAGTTGTGAGTGCCTTTGTGGTTCTATCAGTCCAGCTGTCTAATTTTGACGCAAACATCAACCAGGTCTTGTGGGCATTCTGTAAAATTTGTAAATCTATAAAACACCAAGTGCAACCTGATAATAGCGTTCCAGAAGAATGGCTTGCATCCAGATTTAGGCACTTGCAAAGAGGCAGGTGGAAGGGGAATTCCCTGATTTTTCCAGCCCCCTAAAAACGCTACCCAGAGACTTGTGGGACTCTGCTGAATAAGATAAAGTGTAGTAGAGTGACATAGGGAAAGGAGTCTTTGCAAAGTGGGCAGAAATACCTTCCCTCAATGGAGGGCAGTTCCTGGATGCAGCCCTATGGGTGGAATCTAATCCAGCCACTTCCCTCAACAGAACAGGGAAGGGGAGAATTCTCCCTCCTACCTGGAGCCCCATGTCTCCTCAAACCTGCTGCGGAGTATTGGGGAACCTGCTGCTGCAGATTTTTGGGGTGGAGTAAACTGCAGGGGAGAGCTTCCACTGCCTATGTGGCAGTCTGGTGATCTGTCTCACCTGATATCAGGACAAGACTGATAAAACCAGAATCAACTCAGCGCAAAGGCAGTGGGGAACCCAGCATGGGGTTCAGCGTATTTTGGCACTCTCGTTCCCCCCATGCCACCAGTGAGTCATCGTCCACCCAGCTCAGAAAGGTGGCGATGCACGATGCAAGAGCTGCTGCTGCATTTCCTTCCCCTGCAGGCCAGGTCCCCACCCCTGAACAGCCAGGACCCCACCAGCTCGCTCTCTGTAGAGGGGAAGGACATGGACACGGCGTTCCCTCCACGCCGCAGGCCTCCTTGCTTGCCCCCAGAGGCCGTGGATGAGCCCTCCAGCCCCTTGTTCTCGTCTTCCTCGGGAGGGCACAGCCAGCCAGCATCACGACCGAGTTTTCCCCGGCACCCCCCCTCTGAAACCTCCTCGCGTCCCACAGCATTGCGGCTGCACAGTGCCCCCTGCAGCGGCCCCCCAGACCTCAGCCCCAGGTAAGGAGGGGGAAGGAAAGCGGGCAAGAGAAGGGGAAAGCATCCAGAATGGGGGCATAGCACTCTGGGATGGGTCATTCCTTCCCCCTTCCCTCAACTAGCTTAAGACTCTCTTGAATTTCATATTTTTTGGATCCCAGAAGTGTTTTGATCTCTGCCTTGTCAAATACAAGGAGATGTGCTTACCGTCCCGTAACACAGAACCTTTCGAGTTCTGTCAGGGAGAATAAGTGGGGGGACATGTAAATGGGGTTTGTGTGCTGGATTACAGCTCAGTATAATATAGCACAGCCTTCCTCAACCTGCTCCCTTTCAGATGTGTTGGACTGCAACTCCCAGGATTCCCAGCCAGCATGGTCAGTGGCTAGGAATTCTGGAAGTTGCAGTCCAACACCACCTGGAGGGCCTGAGGCTGATTCAGGAGGAAGGCCGGACTTGTCTGCTCTTGTCAGGTAGCTGAGCCATCAAGGCACCTGAGCCCAGAGGCCTGCCTGCTCTATCCACTTTTCCCCTTCCCATGACTGCACTAGGTCCTAATGTTTAAAGAAAAATGGTTAAGTTTTCCTGTTGCTCCAATCACAGGCTCAGGGATTATGGGATGCCGGGCACCCTTCTCCTGGCCTCTGCTTATTAGATACTCTTTTCTTTTCCTGCGGAAGGGTTGTGGATGGCATCGAGGACGGATCTGGTTCTGACAAGCCCATGTTTAGCTTCCGCCTTGGCCCTTCAGGCCCAGACTACAGCAGCCCTTCAACCGGCACAGGTAACCAAGTACGGCATTTTCCCCGTACGGAAGACGTGTATGCATGTGAGTACACACAGGGGTGCACATGAAGGTGGTAGCAGGAGGAGGTGACAGCTGCGTGCACGATCAGGGCAAGGTGAATTATGTTTCCCTTCTTGGTGAAAGAGCCCCTCTCGTTTCCCTTCTTTCAGACAGTGGCCTGCTCACCATCCCTCCTGAGCTATCTGGTGCTGACACAGCTGAGAAACTGCGCCAAGCGGTAAGCATCTTGGAGTGCCGCCATCAATTTGCAAGAGAAAGGGTTCGAGGGGGCTGCTTAGATGCTCTCCTAGGACAGAGTGGGCAACAAAGGAAGAAAGCTGGGCAGGTGTAATGGTGAAAGGAGACTTGTAACAACAAAATACATTATAACTTGGTAGAGGCAGGAAGCAGAAACTCCTTGCGGACTTTCTAAAAAAGTTGGATACTATTTATTAATTACTGCAATAGTTCTGGTCAGTCAGTTTAGCAGATATGGATATACAGATGCTAAGCTAGAGTACTGTAACTGTCTTGAAGGATTGCAGTGGCAAACAAAAGTACGGAAAACATTACATAACATAAAAAGGGAGAAAGCCAGGTCTTGAATGCTTTTGGGCAGAGGGGTTGTTCACCAAAGAGCTCTGCTCTAGGTGAAGGGAGTATTTTAACTGGAATGCAGGCTTAGCCTAAAAGCCGGGGATGTGTTAGGGGACTAAGTCGCAAGGGGCAAAGCCAAGGGCCGATGGCAAAAGTAGGATCCATTGCACTCTCTTCTCTCCCCACCTGCAATAGGGGCTGGGCACAACCCAGGCCACAGCCTCCAGTGACAGGCTGCCAGTTCCACCACGGGGAGGGCATCCTGGAAAAAGGGAAGGCGGCTTCGTAAGGGAGGCAGTGCTAGAGCCAAGACTGGGGGGAGGGAGGTTGCCGATACTCACCCGGTTCCCCTTCTATCATTCCCAAGGTGGCAGAGCTCTCTGGGCAGGTCCAGCAAATGCGTGAAGGCCTGCACTCACTGCGCCAGGCTGTGCAGCTCTTCCTGCTCTCCCAAACGCCCAGCCCAGCCCGAGTGGACCTTCCATCCTACGGAGCCTTTCCCCACCCCGAAGCTCCTGCTACGCCCCTGCTCAGCCCTCTCCGCGTAGACACAGGACTGCCTCCAAGCTTCTGCCCCCACAGTGCCCCGCCGGCCCCCTGTCCTAACGGGGCCTGTGGCAGGGTGCAGTGGATGTGGGCACCACCCGCGGGACAGAGCTCTCCGTGGCCTGGCACGTTCTGGGCCCTGGGGCCAGGAAAGGACGCTGAAGTAGGCGCTGTTCCACCGGCCGGCCGCGGCTCGAAAGACCAGGGGAGCAGCACGCAGCAGCCGAGCCAGAGCCAGAGCGAGCGCGCCCTTCCCCGAGCCTGCTCCCCCACCGACGCAGCATGCCACACAGGCCTCGCGGACACCAGACCTTCCAGGACTCCAGCCTGCGATTCCTCAAGCCTTGAGATGGTGCTGATCAGTGCTGGGGACAGCAGGTCTCCATGCAGCGCCCCCTGCTGGTCAGAGGAGGAAGGGACAGGCCTATGAGCCTGCCTGTTCGGCTTGCTGGTTGTTTACAGAGGGACCCGTCACTGGGATCGTTTTGGTCTGGAATACTCCAAGGAAGTCATTTGTGTTACTGGGCGCCGTCCTGTTTTGGGGAACGGAGTACCCTGAGGGAGGGAGGAGTCAAAGACCCTGATCCAGTGTTTTAAGAGGGCGCTGCGGCAGCTGTCAGAATGCGGACAGAAGGCAAGGATAGAAGGCAAAGTAGCAGCTCACTGCAAAGGGTTGGAACAAGCAGCTTATCTGGGCAAAAAGCTGACAACTGGGAGCTGCTGCAACTGCCCCGCTGCCAAAAATCAGGCCATCTTGTCTGGATTGTGCATTTTACACTCAAATGCCTGAAATATGCAAATACACGCACGCACACACGACCAGTTTTGGCTACTCTTCCTTCAGGCAGCTTGTGAGGCATTGGGAGTGGGGCAGGGCAAGAGTGAAAATCCCACTGCCCATGCAAGTCTTCTGATGGGAGGTCAAAGGAGCGCCTGAGCCCATATGGGGTTGGGTGAAGGCAGGCACACTTTTTAATAAAATAAATAAAATAAAATCTTATAATAAAAGATTTTGAACATTGGCCTCTTGGTATGCAAGCCACCTGCTGTTGCCTGGGGTTTATTGACCCTCATACAGAGCACAGAAGAGTGAAAACAGACAGTGTCCAAGGTGACAAAAGAAAACGAATGCTAGAATAATCTCTCCTCAATCAAACGAGATTGAGTTCTCATGAATCGCATGTTGCACCTCTTCTGCCCAGGTGCCCCTCTTATCACATGCACCTCTGAAAGAGAAGACTTAAGTCTGTCTCCAGAGGACAGGAAGCAGCACAAACTGGAGATTCATCACAGATGGTAAGTGTTGTGTTGGGGTGTGCACCTCCTTGGTCCAGCCTGGTGCTCTGACGCTAATACAATGGTATTGATGTTAGGTCTTGTGTTGCGTGGGATACAGCCCTCTCTTTGGCAAGAGAAAGGTGGCCTTGTACAGAAGCAGCACACCAGACAAGGATGACAACTATTTTATTAGCTTACTTGACACATACTCTCCCACTTTTCTGTTTGTGGAATCCTCCATGGAAGATTCTGCCACTCTGTCTCAAAGAGGGTCACACACAACAGCCCCACTAGCAGAGCTGGCAGAAGCAGCAAGACTCCTTCCCACACCACCAAGGACATCCAGCAAGGTGCTTCAGTTGGCTAGGGTGCTCCCTTTAGGCCTGCCTCTCCCTCTCCGACCTGTGTAGTTGATGGAGCAAGGCTCACCCTCCACAGAAGAAAAGGCCACTGAGAGATTTCAGTCCTACCCTATAGGTGGGTAGGCTGTATGAAGCTGCCTCATTGCAGAGAACAAGGGGGTCCCTGCTGACACAGTGAGTAAGGTGGGGAACCCACAGCACAGGTCCAGGGATGCTTTCCGTCCGATCCGAGCCTCAGGGCTGGGCAATTTTGGCTGCCTCTGCCTTGATGAGTGCAATCAGGTCTTGGTTGATGAGGAAAACAAAACGCAAGCTGGCAATCTGGAGGAGGAAATGGTTCTCAAATTAGAAGAAAAGTGGCAGCAAGCAGAGAAGAGACAGCTGCATCGCTGCCTAGCCTGCCCTAGCCGTTTCCCTACCTTCCTGAGGCACAGCCCATCTTAAAAGGCCTAATGCCCCTGCCGCCAACCAGAAGCCTCTCAGGATAAATTGATCTCAAGACTTTCCTGCCTCCTAGCTAGCACCACATTTGCCTTAACAGTAGCTGAACAACTCACTCCCTTCATTTATAATATCCAGGATCAGGTGGCTCTGTGCAAACTCAAAAGTAGGAACAGCCAGATGCGAGCAGAGGTTTCAGGTGGACCTGCTACAGATGTGCTCTGGATAACACCTCTGCCATCTTATACAACTCCCACAGCTGGGAGGGCGATTCTCAGCTCTGATGCATTTTCGCCACACGGCCGCCCGCAGCCCCACCTCAAGGCTCACCTCAACCACCGAGTTGTTGCTGAGTTTCCATTTGCTGCCACAAAGCACAGGGCGCCCATCAACATAAATGGGCCGCCGGCCTTCATTTGCTAGGAAGAAGTCGCCATTGTTCTTCAGCTTGATGACACCTATGCAGGTGGAAAGGAGAAGAGAAACGAAGGTGGTGAGACAGGAAAAGCCTCTGCAACTGCTTGCATGTAATGCCCCCTAAGTTCAGGCCACAGGCAACACGCACAGAGCTTGTGATCATAGGTGCCTGGACACACAGCCCATTTTTCAACACTATTTTTACTAGAAATGAGAATATTCAAAAGTGAAATGGCCAAATTAATAGCACCAGCTCAGCCGGAGGCAACGAATTTTAAAACTGTGCAAGCTGAGAAGTGCCACCGAACTTGGACTTTTCCAATTGAGTTTTTATTTTTGAATACTAGGAAAACTTGAAAGTTGACTGGAATGCCTGGTCACAACATGGGCCATGAAGGCAGTGTCATCTGCCCTGCTTTAGGGAGAGCTGCAGCACCTGCTCTCACACCCCACAGGTTGCAGATCCGCCCAGTGACCACCCCTAAGGCACCTCAGTACTACAAGGCTTTTGGTTCAGGAACCATGGACCGAAACCATATGCCTGGCTTCTCAACCCTACTCTGCCACAGCCTTCCCTTTCAGCCGTAGCGCAGCTTCTTCACACAGCTTGCCCCACACAATCCTTCTCTTCCAGCCACTAAGAGGCAGCAGCCCATTTTCAGTACCTTGCTTGCGAGATATTTTCCAGGCCGGTCCCTCCAATGCTAGATCCACATCAATCTGATTGTCTTTGGTGGCTCTGCCAAGTGTGATCTGGAAGAGGAAATGAGCAAAATCGTTCACACTCTGCATCAAGGGAATCAGAACTGAATTTACACTCTAAAATGCACAGTGGAGTTGTTATTTGATAAGATGCATTTAGGATGTTAGGGTGGCCAGTGAGGGTAACTTAAGAACAGCAGAAGTGAATGGCTATATGGAAAGCCTGCTTTAGTCAGAGTAAAGCCTAGAATTTTCTTAGGATGCTGAATTCTGCAACAGATACCACATTAGCTCCAAGTAGCACAGCAGGAGATTACGAGAATCTGCACAATCCTGCTTACTATTATCCTGACCGTAGAATTTTGTCTTTCTCCAAGGTAGTCCACTCAGAAGGTGCCATTACCTTCTACATTAAAATCTGTTCTTTTCTAGAAGGTTCAGTTCCTCAGCAATACGCACACACAGGAAGTTACTTCCTGCTCACAGGAAGAACAGAGTTCGCTAACTCATGAGAATGCACCAAAATCAAATGCTATTACTCATTAGAAATAGTTGGGATTTCTGCTTGAATTCATTAAAAGGAAAATAAGGGGAGAATGTTCAAACATGGACTCAGAGTCTTTGTTACTCAACCACTTCAACTTGCTCAGCTTCAGAAACCCCAAGGAATTGAACTAAAAAGCGGACTCACCTCCCGGGAGCGCATAAGATAACGCACCATCCTTCCACGCAGCACAGCCAATGTTTGGTTATCGAAATCAGGGGAGCTCATTCCTGGAAGGAAATATGAGGGAATTGCTGTACAGGGTCTTTGGAAGAAGGGAGTAGCTAACAGCTGAGTTACAGCAATGTGGGGGTGGGGTTGTTTTTAAAGCTCAAAGGCAATATTCTTCCGGCCATGTCTCAACCCCGCAGTTAGCCTCGTACCCCTATTTGCTCCCACAAGATGTAGCCTGAGGGACCTTTCTCACCTGTGATGCTATCCACCAGCACCTGCCATTTGTGCAGCTCTTGCTCCAGCTGCCGGATTTCACGCTTCTGCCTTCTGTCAGCCACAGTCAGCTCTGCAAGGAGAAAAGCAGCAAGCATGACACACAGGTATTTGAATGAAATGCAAAGCAAGGGTTAGTTGAAATACAGCATTATCACAGGCCAAAGGAGAGGTGTGTACGCTGGAGACCGGGGCGTCTGTTTGGCTTTTGTCCAGGTCCACTAGGCAAGAGTGGGGAGCTGAAGAGGGAGAACAGCAACCGTGCAAGCTTATGCGTATCTGCTTGGGAGTAAGTAACACTGGGCGCAGCGAGATCGACTCCCAGATACATCTGTGCTGGACTGCAGCCTATGTTTCCTTACAGACGGAAGCCGGGAGCTTGGCCACGATGTTTTCCTTAACTGCCAAAGGAGGATTCAAGGCTCATACAAGCCATCCTGATTTTTAAAAATCCAAAAGCTGCCTGTTTTGGACTGGGATATGGTAGTCCACACAGAGCAATTACACAGAGCTATGTAGCGAGGGGGCAACGTGAGGAGGGCGCTCCGTTTGCTCCACCCGCTGCTCCACAGGGCAACAAGCAGAATCCCACTCACCGTGCTCCAGCACCTCATCCCGTACATCCCTAGAGAAGAGAGGGAGGAAAAGGAGGTTAGGCCCCCGTGGACTGCCAAGGGCCCTTGCTAGTGCCAGGCCTAGTCCTGCCTATCCACTGCCTTGCTCCATTTTAAAAAGCAGCTCTTTAGATCCACTGCCAGCCATGGAAGCTGGGCTGCTGGGGGCTGAACAGGGAGAAAGAAGCCTTGTGCTGCAGTCTGAAACTAGCATCTGACCAAGCCCTGGCAGGCTCACATCTGAGCACCGACTCTCCCACAGATCCAGTGGGCAGCCCTGGGGGCTCAGGCACACAGTTTCCTTTCTGGCCCACCGGGAAGCGTGGTGACCTGCCCCAGGCTGCTGCAGCGAGCCTTCAGGGAGGTCCTTCCGCACCCAAGCCCAGCCAGGCTGGGCTGCAGGTGCACAGAGGTCCAGCGCTGGGGCTGGGGGGCAGCTGACCCTGCCCACAGGCCTTTCACTTACTTCAGCTTGCTGTCATCTATCATGTCCTCGGCGTCGGAGAAGTTGAGCACCTGGTCTCCTTTGGGCAGTGGCTGCACTGAATGCGACCAGAGAAAGCAAACGGTAGCTTAGCCTCCTGACACGAGTTTTGGCTTCAGACAGTACTGGGGAGCAAAGAGGACTGCCTTACCTGTTTGATCATCGAGGAGGTAGTACTGCTTCATGAGCTGCCAGTGTGTTTGCAAGACCTTGGCTGTGCGTGAGGGGTAGAAAACCTCCGGGTGTTTGTGCAGTAGGTCCTGGAATGTATCCAGAGTGGGCTGGCTGGTCTGGGGAAAAAGCAAGAACATGTCGGCCCACGAACCACTGCTGCAGCAGCAGCTTTTGTGTTAACCTTCATTAACAGGGATCTCAAGCTGGCTTGAAACAGAGGTGTGGAACGGCTCTGTGTGCCAGCTTCAGGTTTTTCTTAAGGGATCATTCAAAATTTAGATACAATGACACAACCTTTGAAATGTTCCACCTTGGTACATAAAAACAAAACAAAAAAAAAATCAGAGAGATCCAAATTAGTACCTACATAAAGAAAAATTAGTTGGTATAAGCCAACACTGGTGGCAAGAAAGCCATCGTGGCAGAGCCTCTAGCAAGCAAGACCTGGTGGGAAAGGGGAGATTCGAAACCCTGCCTTGCTGCATGGTAAGGTATCTAGGGCTACGGATTCATGCACCCAGGTGCTGATCCTTACCGAGCCCACTTTGCTCAGCAGCTGCTCTTCTGCTTTGCTGAAGAGCACTTTGCTCTGCATAGAGGCAATGGCTTCGGGATGGAGCTGCCGCATGGCCTGGCAGGAGAGTCTGGAAAAGATCAGAGAGAAAGGGACTCAAGTCCACTGATTAGCAAGAATCAATGGGAGCAGTTGCCCTTGCCAGACTGCTCCCAGCAGCATTCACCCAGAGGGTGGGGGGGGAGGGGGGAGGGAAAGAGATTGTGCCAAACAAACATCTGGGACAATCAGATGACTTGCAGGTGTGAAAGAAAAGCTCTGGGCCATTAGCTTCCCATTTCTTTGGAGGGGCTTATGAGGAAAAGCCAAAAAAAAAAAAAAGATACCCCTATTAAGGAAATCCTAACTCTTGCTGCAGAGGTGGGGTTTCCCTCCCATCTGTAGGGGTAGAAGAATTAAGACAGAAGGAACAGTGAGGGAATCAGCTGAGCACTGAGGAGAATGAAGACAGACAAGTGCCTCCAGAGAGCAATGGTGTTGAAGGGAAACATTAAGTGATCTAGTATACAAACACATGACTCTCCTTTTCAAGACTGTACTTGAAAACAACTCCCAGGGATCTCAAAAGAATTTACTTCCAAGCAAACTGAGGATCTCTGGAAAGGACAGCAATGCACATTCCTCTTCCAGTACGACAGAATGCTTTGCCTCTCGCCACTCCTCTGCTGGACGTAGGCCAGGGCTGTCTGACCCTTCCCTTTCCTTGGAAACAAGGCATTCCCTGGTAGAAACCTAGCCTGTAGGAGATCAGGAAGCAATAGCACCCACTCTGAAAGCCACGGTTGTGTGGGCAGCAGGACTTACTTGGAGATAACAGGGTCGTAGAGCAGAGCATACCATCTCTCCTGGATTTCTCGAATGTTAAAGCGACAGCTGAACTTCACTCCGAGGTGCACAGAGGTTAAGTCATTGGTCTTGAGAGAGAGAGAAGAAAGGTGATTCCTCTTTCATTCCTAGCATGCAACAGACATATCCCCATTTGACAATCCAGGGATTCACACTGCAATTCACCCAGGGGCCCAAGGCTAGGATAAGGGGAGCAAGTAAAAAACTTGCTCTGGATTGAGACAAGCAGAATATTTCAAAAAGGCACAAAAGAAGCCGACTGGCTTGAAGTACTTTCAGCTTGAACAGGACACAGTGAAAGATTAAGCAAGGGCCTTGCCCAACATTGGAAGTGTGAAGAACCACCTACCGACGAACTGATTTTAAAAAAGATCTTGGACTGTGCCGAAATGGACAGATTGACACTGTCTCTGAAGAAGAAAGAAGATACAGACCTCTATCAAACTTGGAATTCCTTTTATTATTGGCTAGAGAAATGGGACTATGCATAGCTTTAAATATGTTTATGGATTATCATAAAAAGAAAAAGTATGCGGGGCTGACCCAGTTGGTCTGATGTTTTTGATGACTGATGATTTTTTAGTTTCTTTTTGTTAGGTTTGTTAGTTAGTAGAAAATAATAATAAAACTTATTTATAAAAAAAAGAAAGATTAAGCAAGGGCCAACAAGCAGTCACAGTGGAATGCTGGGAAGGAACAGACAGAATTATTACACCGGAACACATATATGAAGCTGAACTTCACTGAATTCATCTGCCTCAGTATTGGTCTCCACTGCCTTGAAGCAGCTTGTCAGGAAATGTGGAAACACAAGCACCCAGAGTGCTTGTCAAGCAGGTCCAAGAAAGTAGTCAGGCCCAGATAGGTATGGATCATGGTCTCACAGCATGCGATTTTAAAGATCCACAAACAGAAGGCTACTTTGGAGTTTTGCACAAGCCATGCTAGACTTCTTGAAGGAAAACTGACAGATGCAATTCAAAAACTGCTCCTGAACCAAGGTGAATCCTGAGGGATTTTAAAACAAACTAGCAAAGCACTTGGCATCTGTCCCTGGACAAACCCTGCTCCACTACCTGAAGCACAGCATTGATCAGCAACAGATCATCGGTGGGTTTCCAGCGGCCCAAGTCCTTGGTGACCTGCAGGGGTTGCTTGCTCTTCTTCATCCGCTTGGTGAGGCTGGGATTTGGCGCCGGGCTGGGAGTAACAGGTGCAGAGATGGATTTGGACACCTGCAGGGGCACAGAGGCCAGCATACAGATCATGGCAGACACAGCATCAAGAGAAGCCAAAACGTACCAGAGAATGGAATCACAAAAGTGGCCACTGACCAAGTTCACAGCAAGGTAATTCAGGGACTCCTACAGCAGCAAGAGAAGGCCACCCCCAGCCAATGAGGCCCTGAGCAGGGCCAGAGCATGGCATTCAAAACCAGCAGGCCACAGCTCTTCCCCAGCAGGGCACGCAGGTCAAGCAACTCACCTTCTTCTTTTCACTGGAAGAGGGCTCGCTGCCCGAGCAGCGTCCAGGCTCCACGCCACTAGGCCCCTTGGCCCGGCTGGATGATTTGGCAAGGCTGCTCTCTACCAGCTCATCATCAAACTTCTTCCGCTTGATGAACCTAGAATGGTGAACATCCACATTGTCCTACCATTACACTCACGCCGCTCCTCCCAGTGCCCACATCAACACCCCTGCAGGCCAATGGGTTGTCGATAGGTTGTCTGGGAGGCTGAGTTTACAGAGAATTCAGCTGGATTCTTCTTCACTGAAAGGAGCTTGTGAGAAAAGTTGGGCCTTACAGGAAAATTAGCTGCATACAGGATGCGTGGAGCATCTTTTTGTTTTTAAAGCAATGAACATCAGAACATCTGGTATTTATATCAGAGGTGCAGAACTTATTTTGGCCCAAGGACTAAACAGCCATCAAAAAGTTCCCATGTCAGCCAGAGTACAAAACCAGCAGCATCACTCTGTCCCCATCCACACCATCCTCACACACCACTCATGCAAACATGCACATCTCCCCAGTCTACTGTAAGAACAATAAAATGGCACCAGGATCTACATTTACGCAACTGCGGCAGTCTCCAAATTAGAGAGCTGCTCACACACCATGCGTCCTCCTTTTCCCTAGGCCACCATGCCAACCACACCAAGATGGTACCTGGAAGAACTGCGCCGTTTTGGAATAGCCCCGGACACCTGTGAGGAGCTCCTCTTTTGTCCTGCCAGAGACTCTTCGTCTTCAGAGCGGCTCGCTGTGCCTGACGCCATCAGTCTGGAATCCAGCACGTCTGCCACAGGAAGAACAATGCAGAATCAGTGCTTTGTGTGGCCACAACAACTCTGATTTGATTCCATGATGGACCAATGCTAATTATTGGTCTGTGCGTGGCTTGTCCTGTCATCTGAACCCAAGCAGCATGACTTATCTGAGGGGGAAAGAAGCCTCAAACCACCCATGGCCTATTGTCAGGTTAAGGGCTATTTCAGCCTCAAAAAAAGCCATGCTGCTTGTTTGAGGAGTCCAAATAGTTAGTATTTTCACTCTTTCAAAATGATTAAGCCAGCTTTGCCTACTTGACGCCATCAGGTGTTTGAGATTTTGGCTTCTATCAGTCCCAGATAGTACGGCCATTGGTCCATGCTCATAACTGTAGTCCAAAATATCTACAGAGTACCAGATGGAACAGACTGGAGTATGGATTTGTGTCCAGGCAGCCCCAGACATTTCAAGGAACTTAGTTTGTGTTACATCCCCAAAAATCACTTAAAGCCTTCCCCATCTGGGTTCTTTCCTTACATTTTGGATCACATCTCTCCAGATCCCCAACCGTTGGTGATGTTGTCAGACTGACGGGAAGTACAGTGCAAAATATCGGCATGTTGGGCTGCTTCTAGATATACAGCTACTATTCCTTTACTTGCAAATGTATCACTGATTTCTGAGGAACTTTATTCTAAGTCACCAAGTATTTATTTATATCCAGCCTTTTCCCTGCAAGGAACCTGACGCAGCTTACATAATCCACCTCTCATTTTATCCTCACCGCAACCCCATGTGGGAAGGACTAGGCTGAGGCCCAAGGTCACCTAGTCAGCTTCTCCAGAATCCTGGTCCAACATGCTGTACCTACACTATTATTATTTATCAGAGAAGTCACTATAGTTATCGTTTGACAGAAGAGTCCTTCTGTGGCAATGGCTTTGTGGGACACAGCAGAGTGCGGTGAGCAGAATATTAGCCTTGAGCTTGTTTTCCTTTGTCTTGGTTTCAAAGTCCTGCTCAGCTTTGGACCCACTACATGGCCTGATGCTCAGCTTCAGCTGCCCATCTGTAAAATGAACAATACACTTTCTACATAGAATCTGCACTTAAATTGTTTGGTGGTTTGTTTGTGGGGTTTTTTTTGCGGGGGGCACCATCAACAAACTTTTAGAAACTAAGGATTTTTGCTATAAACTACCCACAACAAACAAGTTCTGTGAAAGGTGGTTTCCTTTTCTTAGTATTAAATGGCTGTGTAGGTCTAAAAACATCTTCATGTCCTAGAATAATTGCCATAATAAACAATTAGAATCAGTATCGCTAAAGCACAAGTCCCCTAGGAGAAAGGCTCTAGTAGAAAAACTCATAGCATGGCGATCTGGTTCACATGAACAAAATAAGCTGCTGCAGCTTGTTTAAACTGGGTGCTATTAGCTTAATTACCATCTGTGTGTGAAATAACCCTCGAATGGCCTTTTGCTTGGTTAACAAGACATGCTGCTTGAGTAGTCCAAATAATTAAATTGGAATGATTGGGTCCTTGGATTGGGTAATCCAGTACTGGGTTATATCAAGTACTGGCTGTCTACCACAAAAATGGAAGCTGATGATTTCCCCTCTTCACTCTGGGTCCCAGTGCATGTGCATTCCTCTACATCTTCTGTTGGAGGATCCTCCAAACCAGATTTGCTGAAACAACAGCAGGAGGTACTGCAGCAGAGAGGTAAGCAAGAAGTCCCTGCAAGTCTGCTCACACCATGTCAAATTTAAGCCATAGTTGTTTATCAAAAAAGAGTGGGAGGAATTGATTGTGAATACAGAAGGAGGGTTAAAAGGAATAAAAAGAATCTTTTAGATGTTTATACAAGGGCATAAGGCAAAAGTTAGTGTAAGGATGATCCCTTGGACAGAACACTGGAGGATCAGACATTACAACAGCCATTTGTGTGTCTCATCCCAGCAATTTTTACAACAACCTTGTAAGGTTAGACATCATGTTGATTCCACCTAGCAGAGGAAGGGACTGAGGTTAAGAAAGCACAGGTAGGCTAAGGTCACCAGCAAACACATTGTTGTATTTATTGAAATCTGTTGTAAGCCATCCAGAGACACGGAGTGATTGGACAGGTTAGAAATATCACAAATAAATAAATAAATAAATAAAGGTTGAGGGGGTAGCATCTGAAACAGTGGCCTTTTATCTCATGCTATTATGCATTATCTTATTTATGATATGCTGCCTAACAGCACTTCTATTCTAATGGTGGCTAATAGTCCATAGCAACTAAGACAACTGCAAGCAGTTTGCTAGAACAGCAGACACCCTAAGAGGGAGCAGCAACAGCACAAAGCTCAAATGTTGCCTAGGAGAAAAAGGCTCAGATAAATATATTTTCTTGGTACCAAAGTGTGTCTGAGTAAATGCAAGAGACTTGCTAGGGTAGGTATAGTGAAATGCACACCTGTGTCCCTAGGATGATAGGCCACAACTAAGGTTACAACCTGCATCACTTCAGAAGGCAGGCTCCAACCAAAGAAGACCCTCCAGGGATGACTCTGGAAGACAACAGTCCTTCAGATAACTGAAACAGGGTCTGAAAGATAAGCATCAGAACTTTGAACTGTGCTCAGAAATTGTCCCAGCAACCAGAACAGCTGCTTTTAAACTGGCATGACATATTCTGTTGGGCCAATCATGATTACTTTAGCAAATCTATTTTGAACTACTTGAGGTTTTCAAGAAGGTATCAAAGGCGGCACCACTTAGAATGTGCTACAGTTACAGGGTTCACAAATGGCTTTGACTGCCTAGCCAGCCATTCTACTAATCCCCTCCCTTGCATGTGCTACTGAAAGGTGCTTTCTACCATGGATGCCACTTGAGACTCTAGTGGCAAAAATGGACTGGTGATGAAAGTGTGCTTATTCCTTTAAGGGCAGTTCAAACCTTTATTCAAAACAGGCTGAATAAACCTCCCTACTCAAATGGGCCATCCACCAACAGTACCTCAGTCTTGCCAGGACTGAGGTTCAGTTTACTGGCCTGCATCCAGTCCATCACTGATTGTAGGCACTAATTCAGCACAGCTTCACCTGAATCAGATGAGAAGATGCAAGGAAGGAACTAGGTGTGCTCAATGTACTAATGCCACCACTCTCTACATTCTAGTAATGATCTCACTCAGTGGTTTCAGGTAGATGTTAAAAGCACTGAAGAACACAGGAATCCTGCAGTATCCAGCACTGCAAAAGCTATGAGGCTGCTCTTTCTAGAACACCACCTTCCAGAACTAGCCCTCCAGGAAGGGTGGAATCACTGAAGACCTATGCCCCTAACCTGGATAGTTCCCTTAGGAGGATTACTATGACTAAAGGCACTGAAAATCATAGAGAGATCCAGAAGAATTAGCAGCCACATTTCCCTGTCCTCCTCCCATCCATTAAAATAACCAAGACTGTTTCAGTGCCAAGATCAAGTCTAAGGAACCTAAGAGGAAATATACCAGATATACTTATACCAGGTTAGACAATTTATCCACTTAGCCAAGTCTATCTACTTTCCAGCATCTCTAGAAAAAGGGGGTTTTCCAATCAGTTATTACCTGAACTTTTTAACTTGAGATGCCAACAGGTGCTCTGCTATTGATCTATGATCCTGCCTCAATGGGCCTGAAGTAAGTCAGTGGTCTCATCCAGCAGTGTCTGGCATTTCATTTCCTTGCCCAAAAAGGGGACCCTTATGACCCATAGCTGTTAAAATCCTCCAAGACCAGGAGTGGTGTTGCAGCCACTTTTTTGAAGACAGGCAGAGCCAGCCCCTCTTAGTAGCTTCCAGGAACCTGTCTCCCACTTCATTATTAAGCACAGTGCTGAAAAGACTCAGGTCAAGAGGCGTCCAGGATTCATGCCTCTGCTGAAGCAATGTATTCACTTTGTGTCTTTAAATAAAGCACTGTTCTTCACATGCTGAAATGAAAACACCAATTTAACCTTTTTTTTTAAGGGCCATTTGGTGTTGTAGCTAAACTGGCAAACTACAACCAGAAACAATTCAAATAGGGTGATGTAGTGCAGGGGCTAGCGAGGCCAACTTCAACCACAGATTCAAATCTTCACTCAGCCATGTATCTGACAGGTTGGTGGCCTTGCATTAGTCACCACTTTTTACCCCAACCTAGGCATGGCCCACTCATGGACCTCTTGCGGCCTTCAACTCCCATCAACCACATCACAATGGTGCTTTTAATTTATTTATTGCTTTAATTAGGCTTTCATGTCTCTTTGGTTGAAATCTGCACTGATTGACCTTTTTTTGTAAAGCCAGGGTACAAATTAGGCAAATGAACTCTCGACAGTATAGCCAATGGTGAGGGATTTTATGAGGCAAGTCCGAAACATATGAAGGGCCTTACGCTATCCACTCCGCCCTATTTCCGGGTAGTTGTAAGGATACAAAGGCCAAAGTAAAGATCTGGCTGTACAACTCTAAGCTCAGCAGAGAAGCGCGAGGAACTCCCACCTCCTGACCGGGCAAACAAGCGCGAGCTACGCTCCTCTAATATGCGCAGGCGCACCAGATGGAGAGGTTTCCCTCCGATACCATCGAACTGCAGAAATGCTTGAAGCGCCGCGCGCATGTGCAATTCTACCACCCACCTGCCTAGCCTCTATTGCGCATGCGCTCTCCAGCCTCAGTCGTTTTCCCGTCCTAACAGGCACGAGTCCAGATTTCCCCTGCCTACTCTCAGCCGATCTCAGAACGGTTAAAAAGCCCATAGCGCCCATGCCTCACCATTCCCGATGCTTATAACGACGACTCCTGTCTCTCTCCGGCGTCCACCTCGGAGACGCGAGAGAAAGCTGACTCACTTCCGGGAAGAGAAGCAGAAAAAGGAACAAAACCATCGTATTTCCGGTTTGTCGTAGTCAGAATTCCTGTGAGCGTTTCTCACGAATGGTTGTGTGTGTGGCGGCCATCTTGGTTAAGGGCACCGTTCTAGTCATTTTGGTGCTTAGAAAGCTAAGAAGCTGGGTGGCTATGACGAAATGTTTTCTTGGCCGCGATACCATGGCAACTGCCCCAAGATTTTTTTAATACCACTAATTTCTTGATTTATTTTTATGTCAACTGAGTTAACATGAAGGTTTCGGTTGCCAATAGATTCAGCACAGACAAAAAAAGTACTGTTCATATCCCGTGTGGCATTTTCTACCGCGTGTAGAGCGGTGGCCAGTATGGCATGAGAGAGGACAAATAGACCCTTCAGGTTCAAGAGGCAGTATTTGCCTGAGTACCCATCGCTGGGGAGCAACAACAGGGGAGAGCGATTGCCTTTGTTCCTTCCCTGCTTGAGAACTTCCTGGATGCATCTGTATGACTGGACTAAATCGAAAACGCAGGCTGGACTGCACTGTATGGCTGGACTAAATGAAAAACACAGAATATCTACAAAGAATTGGCAGCAGTGGTGGGGAATGGGCATGGCCACCTGGCGAATCCCAGAGGGCTGGATTGAGATACTAGGTGGGGGCATTTTGGCCCATAGGTTCAATAACTTGTCCTCCCCTGTGCCCATGAAGCTTAAAACTATGTCATGCCCAAATCCTACTTTAATCTCAGCTCTTTTCACATGCCACCTTCTCTTACTGTTTACCTGAGATGTTTAGTATACAGAACTGAGTATGTACTATACTTGTATACAGAACTGAGTATGTACTATTGAGCTTGTTAGAGTTTGTTTCTGGTTATAAATTGGGCTGCTACACACACAATTTAACACTCCAGTTAAAAATGTAAAGTGTACATGCGGAGAAAAGGATATTTTAAAAAGTGTAGCTTTCAGTGTAGTTGTATGCCTTTTTAGAGTGAAATAAGACCACTTCCCATTATCCCCAGACAGTCATGATGGTTGGGGCATGCTGGGAATTGTAGGACCTCTTTCTGTCTAGACAGGCATAGGATTATGCCCTTTCTCAGTTGTTCCACACAGGTAGCGCTAAAAATTAATTATAACCTTTTTGGTCCATATGTTGTTGTGAATTAATCCTGATCTTACTTACAGCTTCACAGCATCCTGCAAGCTTGTGTTGGGAAAATTTGGATAAATCCTGTCTGAAAAACATTACTTCTGTGTGCTTTTTGCATTGTGAGATCAAAGCCTGTCTTCCTCCTCAAAACCAAGCGGTCACTGTTTAAAATGGCATTCCCCACTCCTTTTCTCTCACCTTTAGCTGTGGGCTACAGTAGACAGGCCATTCAGTCCAAATATACATTGTAAATAGTCATTGTTGGAATTCAGTTTACAAGGAAGTATGTTTTGATAGCCCAGAGTCTCCATGTGCCCTGGCCAATTCAGAATGTCTAGAGTAGATAAGAGTCTTGAGTTCATGCATAGTTTAGTAGCTTGAATTTACATGTCTTAAGCAGACCTGGAGATGGGTTCAAGCTACTGAACTAAAGTGTCAATACAGGCAATTAGAAATATTGTAATCTCATTGTTACTGTGTGATTGACTGACATTTCTTTATCTGTTCTGTATGTGATGACCTCAGAATCTTATTGTAATCTCTGCATTCTGTCATCAATTGCCCTGTACCTGTGTACCTAATAAATGCCCTGCAATGGTATTGAAGCTTGGCAGCAGAGTTAACTCTGCCTGACCAGTAATGCATTATTGTGAGTACGCACCCGCGGGGAACCTGGGAAATACAGTAAAGCCTCAGATGGTCTGGTCGCTTGATCTTTCCCATGAACCCAAGTTTTATTCCCTCTTCTCAAATTGAGATTCCGGGATTCTGACATTTGCTGCCATTAAAAATCTCTCATCTTCTATTCTTTTCCTTAAAGTATTATTAAATTCTCCTCTAAAATTAGCCCTAAATATTTTAAGAATGAATTCTGGAAAGTAGTATCCTGGCATAAGCAAGTTATTTTTGCAGCTAGGTACTATATAGGATTTTGGCAGAGATGTGGAACTTTTCTTAGAGCCACAGCTTGGTTTTAGATTTTTCTTATAAAGGTTCTTTGGATTTGCTAATTTCAGTTACTGATGCACGTATGAAAGTTGTTCCACAACAGATGAAGAAACTGAACTGTGGCAATGCTTTTTACCTCTCTTCCTTGTAGTATGTCTTATGTTAACAACTGGAGTTCCATACTAGCCTGGTGGGTGTAGGCATGTTGTGACAGTAAGGAATCTATCCATAATTATAGAATGCAATGCAATGCAATAATACATAATTATTAAATGTAATATAGATGCCAGTGTTGACCACTGCATGGAAGAAGAGCTGAGTTGGCTAAACCAAAATTGTATTTTTTTTATATTGTGTTTATTTATTATTGTGAGCTGCCCCGAGGCTTCGGCGAATGGGGCGGCATAGAAGCCTCCTAAATAAATAAATAAATAAATAAATAAATAAATAAATAAAATGAAATTATCTTGGTGGTGCCAGTTGAGGGTTTTACAATGGAACTGTAAGCATATATATTCAGAAGTAAGCCCCGTTGAATTCATTCCAGGGGAGCAGGTATACGATTGCAACATGTGCTGCCTTTCCAGGAAGTAGGAAGAACTTAGTGATGCAGCTGGGCTTGGGAATAAGCTGTGATTATTCTAAAATTCCAGACCCTAAACTCTTTAATCTGTGTATCTTTAATGATGCCATAATGTCAGGTTTTGTGAGGCTGAGCATAGAATTCAAAGCAACAAGGAGTTGCCCTAAGAAGGCCCTGCAAGTTACGTGCACCTCTTTGTACATTCCCCTCTCTGCAGTACTCCAATGCATTAGGATCTGCCCTGGTGCCCAAAGTCTTGTTCTACTTCTGTGGGAGAAGGGAAAAAGAACTGCAGCTCTGTCTCTCTGAGGCACAAAGAAAAAGAACTTACAAATTGGTGTGTGCATATGAGAACCAGTTGATTTGAAAAATACCTCCCAGCTTTTAATATGTGTGGGCCTCTAGAAAGCACTTGAGTTCTCTGTTACCACAAACACCCCAGACCAAACCTCAAACTGGAGTTTTTAAACCCCTCCCTTCAGAGCCTTGAACCTGCTTTCTTTGTTATCTGTCTGTTGTTTGTCTCTTCATGCTCCCAGGCTCTGCTCTCCATGGGTAATCATTGCCTTTACATTTGTCCTCTACCCTGCTGCATGTTGTGCTTCATGATACTCACATTTATGGCTGAAATCCTGGATATACACTACAGATTTCAGCATCAATTAAGCTTGCATGTTTTAGAAAGGAGTTCTTGTATGGGGGGGGGGGGCAGACAGAATATACAAGCACACTCCAGCACAGGTACATTATGGGGTAATTTACAAGAAGCCAACCATCTCTTGAATCTGTGGCACATAATGCTGAGGGGTATTTGGGTCTCTGTTGCATAAAATGGGACTTCCAGTTTTGTTTCTCTAGAATCTAAGTGAGGATTCTTTTCTCGGTCTTGCTGCTCGTTTGTTTCACACTAGTAAAATCAGTGGCCATGATTGTGATTTTGGATTACATCATCTCCCAGAGAGGTTTCCCAGTGGATTATTTCCAGTGACGGAGAGGGATGTGGGGAGTTTTCCTGACTTAAGAAAGGTGTCGTTGAAAACAATGTTGCTATCTGGTATAGAAGCAAAGAGCTACTGTTCAATTCTACCTAGAAAGTAAAGCAAATATATTTGTGTGCCCTCTAGTGAAACAGGAGGGTGCAGTGTACCAAGAATCTAGTGTGACCAAACTGAGGAAGCCAGGAAACTGGCTTGGATGTATGTACGTACACACATACACACACAAAACTGTTAATTTCTACTTGTCAGACAGATATTCAGGAGCATGACTCACAAATGATGGCCTATCATTCAAACCTGAGCAACATTTTTAAGCTTTAAACAAACTTCAACCCATGGTCAGTTGTAGGGTTATTTCAAGATTGCTTAATGTCCACTGCTGCCCAGATTCGAATGACACAGCAAACCATAGCAACCTTCCATCGACTGGCTATTCAAAATGGCAGCCCACCCATGCCACAGCCTGCCATGGTGGGTTGCATTGACTTGAAAAATGGCCCAATGAGTTGCAGTTAGATTCTGGAGTGTGCAACTTGACTGCTGGTTCTGAACTTCCCTGCTCCCTCTTCCCCAGGCAGCCCCCTCCAGCCTCCTGAAAATGCTACCCAGTCAGTTGCGTGAACAGTGGTGCAAGGTGGTGAGGTGGGAAAACTTTCCTTAAATAAGGCAGGGACACTGTAGGTGAATGGAGCCTTTCCATTCATGGAAGGCATTTCCAGCATCCAACCCATCCGGGCAAATCAAGTTTGCCCACAGTCTTCTTTCACTTGCAGCTGAAAGACAACCTGAAGGATTTCTTTCTAAAGATATAAAGATAATACATGCTTTGAGCATTACATCTGAGCAGAATTACAGGCTTGCTCTCAATCTTTGCCTACCTTCAGTTTTTCCAGCAGTATTATCCGCCTGTTAAGCAAGTTGCTTGTGTTGGGATTTCCCTTTTTTCCCCTTGTATAACCCAAAGGGGTGGGGGGAAGCAGTGCGATGCCATACACCATGTAAGGTATTTCCATTCTGCTGACATGCTACTAGGGAATGGGATATAAACCTCAGGGATCTGATCCTTTCAGGCCTAGGGAGTTGGAAGCCACATGAGAAAATCTTGCTTTCAAATGCCACAGTGAGTTCTGTAAGAAAATGGTGCTTGCCTTTGACTTGAAACTTGAGGGGGAGGTCCTGTTCCCTTGGGCAGAACTGTGGGCAATTTGAATTGCCAGATGAGATCAGTGCAGTGACTCACCCAGACCAATCTGTAACTGGGGCAGAGAAGGGTTGCTGAATCACACCTTCTGCCCTACAGCACCCATACAATTTTCCCCAAAGGAGAACATGGCTGCACTTCTAACAGTTGGATGTTAGCTGTGTGTGTGAAAAAAGGAAATGAATATGGGAAAAGATCTTTTTGTGTTGTCAACAACTTGGATGGTCATCTAGAAATTAGACCTTTATAGGTTCTGCTGTGGTTTAAGCCCTGGTCACAGCAGCCACTTATCAACCACCTAAAGACAAACAGATGGAAGAAGAGAGGAGGCTGCCTTATATTGGGTCAGACCATTGATTCTTCTAGGGCCTACACAAAGATCTTTCCCAACCCTATCCAGAGATGGCACAGATTAAACCTTCAGGGTGGAACTGTCCGACCCTGGTGTAGTATATTCATTGGGATAGGTTTTTTCATGAATTAGAGAGCTTCTGCCACAATTAACCTGATAGCCTTTAAAGTGCAGCAGGACTCTTCTGTTTTTGCTGGAATTGACTAATTTGGCTACCACAATGAAAACCATTTAACAGTGGGTTTATTGTGAGAGGCCTTGCTGGAATTAGCCATTTGTGATATGCCCAATATGATGTGCCCTTACCCTGTCGTTTCATACTCCTTGTGCTAGAAAAGGCTGAGGTCGCTGCTAAAACAAGGTGTACAAATCTGTGTATGTTTGCACCATAGCATAAGCCTTACAGTTCCAAGAAGTTTGCTTTTCCTTGAGATGGAGGTGACAAAAGTTCCTCCAACCCCCATATTTAACTACCACAACAGGTGCATCTGAAAGCCTTGATCAATTTCAACTTGTCACACTTTGAGTTGGGTAGAAAGTTTAGGTAACGGGGTAGTTCTACTGGTGAAATCCAGATTTTTTTTCAGATCAAGTTGGACTTAGGGGATGAGTGTGCCAATGAAGGCTCTTATCAAGAGACCAGTAATGGCTACAGGCAGCTCCCCTTACTGAAGCTCACTCACAGGTGCCCAGGAAGTGTTCTAGAACATCAAAGCCAATCCAAGTTTGATGGGCAGTAAACATCTCCCACAGTCATCAGCTTCTGAATATTTAAACCATAAAAATAATTAATTTGATCCTCTATTAAGCATCTATGTCAGACACTGTAGCTTCATGGATAAATAGCAGACTATCTTGCCGTTTGGGCATGACGCTATCTTGACTCAGTTGTTTTATTATTCAACATTTCCATGATATTTTCAATAAGGTTTGTGAAGTATTTTGCTTATGATATTCATCCTCACACTTTTGTAAGGCAGGTCACTGAGTTTAATGTTATAAAGCAGGAAGTGTGGCCAAAGAGGCAGGGACTTCCGTAAGAGCACCCAGGAAAGGGGTGCTGTGCATTTGTGTTGGACAACACAACCGAGGCTGCAGTCCTAGGCACATTTATCTGGGAATAGGCAGAACTGAACTCAGTGGAATTGTATCCAAGTACATGTCTATTGATCGTGCTGCACTGACGCAGCTGCTACGTGGTGGAGGAGGAGTGAATGGAGGGGTTCGGAAATGTCCTTCACACTCTGTGAAGGCACAAACACTTTCCACCCTGTTGCTGGGAGAATCAGGTCCTCCGCTTCCTAAGCTGCTATGTAGCAGTGGGACACTGGATTGACTGTGCATGCTGCGGCTGCCAGTGCGCATTTCTTGCCTGGCATGGATGCGATGCCAGAACAATCAGAGCTGTGCTTGCTCTTAAAGGTGTTGGCAAACCAGTGGAGAGCAACTGAAAGGATCTTTTTGGTGCAACTTGTTTAAGAACAGTAAGAACCTCTGTCACTAACACATGTCATCTCGGATCCAGGCCAACTCTCAACTTCAGGTATCTAGTGTCTCTGATATTAGTTTGACAATATAAATTACACAAAGTTAGCATGAAGAAACTGATCTGGCTCCAAAGCAGACAGTCTCTCACAACTTCTCTCCCACAAGGTTTTGGAGGGGTTGTCTTTGGCCCCCTGCATCACCCTAGGAATCCAGGTTCTCATTCTCAAAGAATCAAGGCTTCTGGCAAATGGGTGCCCTATTTGAAGCGAAGTGGACAATGCTATGCCCAGTCATTTTCAAGAGCTGGCTGTACAGTTTCTTTTGCAGTAGGTAACTCTTCAAGGAAACTGGGAAAGCAGAGGGTTCCTTCTCGTGCTGCGGGCTCGGTTCCATCTGAGAGACACCGTCCAGCTTTACAAGAAAAAAGCAGAGCACGAGGAAAACCCCTTAGAACCTTTGGCCTTGTTGAGCACACGTCCCCCTGAAGCTCTGCCAAGCACGCCTCCCACTGCCAAAAAGAGGTGGCCCAGGGTCTGCAGGTCTTTCAGAGAGAAGAGCAGGCACAAGCAGTGCTGCTATCAGTGAGGGTGGCACCACAAGGGAGGTCCTCAAGCAGCAGTCAGAGGCTCGCCACAGGATCCCAGAGAAGGGCTGTATCTAGGCAGAGACAGGAACATGCCCGTCGCTGTCCCCACTCCAGTTGGTGACCCAGTCCTTCTTGGTGATGGTGCCTGTCTTCTCCTCATGGAAAAGCTGGCGATCTTGGCGAGGTATCTTGACTGCGTGGTACTGCGGCACCTTGTCTTCATGATAGCGGGCACGTTTGAAGAAGCCAAGCTGCAAGAAAAGAAGCCGCAGCATTATGGAAAGTGGCAAGTCCCATGTTTTGCCCCAAGCTGCATCCACCAACTACAACCAGTACTGAACTGAGTGGTGATGCTCCCACGGGCCCCATCCCACTTCTCGCTCTTCGTCTCCTGGGTGGCGCACACTCACTGCACACACGCACCTGGGACACACGGCCTGTTGCCATGCACTCTAGTGCTTGCTTACAGACACTCAAAGGGTTCAGTTATCTGGGCATCCGTATCCTTCTGCAGTTGTCGTCGTTCTCCTCAATACGCACTTATCACAGAATGTGCAAGAGTGCCTTAAGTCATAGCTAGAGAGTGAGTTATTCTATTTCAGGCCTGATACTTTTAGAATGCAGTTAATAGTACAAGAAGCATTCGTGGCAAAGGCTGGTTTGTGGGGTGGGCCGGGTCAGAGACAGTGCATGTAGAAGCATATCCATGTTTGGCTTCATCATTTGGAACCGCCTGGAAGTATCTTTATGCAATACCCTCAGCCACCCATATTCCTTCCCACAGCAACTCAGTGTGGGATTTGGGAAGGAGGTGCTTGGGCCAGATGCCCACGGTGGCCCCCATCCCTAGGTAAGCCTCCCTCCTCTTTGCTGCTGCCCACCTGCTTGTCCCCCCACCCCCTTTGGGCACACTCCGCCGAGAGTAAGAGGGCCAGGCAAGAAGAGGCTGCGTCTTGCCTATTCATTGCTCACTTGCTTAGCGAGCAGGAGCAGCAGGGATGGCGGTTTCATGGGCAGGCAGTGGCCCTTGCTGGATTGTGGCGGCCCCGCACCAGCGATCTGGCTCAAGTACCGTGCACTCCAGCACGCCCGTTCTTCACACTCTTGTTTTGCATGCGTGAACCCGTCTCCCCACGGGTTTTCAAGTTTGTGCTCTGCGGCACACTCACACTCTGCCAGTGCCTTCATATGCCGAGGTGTTCGGTGTTCATCCAGTAATGGTTCCTACAGCCCTTGACTGTCCATGGGTTATTTCACGATCATGCATTGTCACAAGCAATATCCTTGCAACCCACAGATCATCACACACAAGCACATAAGAAGGGCAAGAACGCTTTCATGTTAGGATCTCCAAGTCCTGCAGTTAGGCTTCCATGTACACTTTGGTCTGCTCAGAAGTACACTGGCAAGCCCCTTATTTGCACATGCACTAGTATTCTTAGTAAGCTCACAATAAAAGCACTCTGTTGTTCGCTGTTCTCGCTCTCCTTCCACATCTGTGCTCTCACTTCTGCACACTTACAAGCAGAGAGTCAGTTAGGTGGGTGAGACCAGCATTACCACTAGGCCTCCATGGCCTGCCTGTCAGCATCAGAGGGCTGTACGGCCAGCCGGGCCCGATAATAGTTCGTGGAGTATTTGGATACCCGGCTGGTCCTCTTGAAGAAGCCACACTGGGAGTGGGGAAAAGTATGAATGGTATTATCAGCCTTGCCAGGGAGCAGATCCTAGAGATGGGGTCTAAAGACCTGACCAGTAGGGCAGCATCCATCTGTATCAAGGATCCCCCCAAGTGGATTCTTTCTCCCATCTCACCCCCTGTAGAGAGTTCAGGCTGGGTTGTTGGGTTGTTATTCCCAGCACGTGCAGCCTCACTGAGACACTGCCATCTTCAGAGGTTCCACAGTTGGGAAACTCCACCCCACCCCCCACCAAACAGGATGCCATTAGCAAGGCGACAATTCCCAAGCTTGAACCACGGTTGCCAAAGGATATAGGAGCATAAGAAGCTGCCTCCTTCCAAGTCAGCACCTCAGTCCATCCAGCTCAGTCCTGTTTACACTGGCTGGCAGCCACAGTTCTCCGGGGTTTCTGGTGGGATTCTTCCCTAGCCCTCCTTGAAGGTTTCAGGAATTGGACCCAGAACCTTCTATATGCAAAGCGGTTGCTCTAATGCCGAGCAAACAGGGATTGTCCTGCGGAATGTGCTCCAGGGTCAAGGCTGGCAGAAGGCAGAACTAAATGGTCTCACGCAACCTCCCCAGCCATCTTCTTCAGGGCAGCTCACCTTCCACAGGATAGAGACTAGCAGGCCCAGCACTAGGATCCCAGCTAGGACTGCGATCAGGATGATCCACCAGGGCACACCTCGTGTCATGACCACAGCAGGATCCAAGTAGACCGTCACTGGGATCTGGGGAAAGGAACATGGCAGAAAGTGAAAGAGGAACCTGCCGCTGGCAGGGAGGAATGACAGCTGGCCCAAGTCAGCCAGAAACAGACAGAAGATCATCTTAACTGTTGGGTGGTAGCTCCCTCCCTAAGTGTCACAGGCAGGATGAATCTCACTTCTGGATGAACCACAGAGTACAAATGAAAGGTGCATACAAACAAGGGGACTTTGGGATCGTCTGCTGCTGTGGCTTGTGCAGCAGGGAGGTGCCGTCTCCATTAAACTCTGTGGTATTCATTGCTAGTGTTCTGGCTTTCGCACACAAAATGATTATAGTAGTTCATCCTGTCAGTAGTCCTCTGCCACAGTTTCCATTCCCTTTTCCTTTCAATGGGCACTGTTGTCCATTTCAGAAGCCACGAGCCATATCTTTTACCGGAATAGGGAAAAGTGGAATTGCATCACATTTGTTTGAGATCTCAATAAAACTCCCCTTCCCTCTGACCCAGAAGTAGCAATTGCAGGAGGAAGTGGAACAAACAGCCTAAGACATTGTCCTGGGCCACAGAATATTTTAGATTCATGCAATAAGCAAATATGCCGAACTGTGAGGCGCCAGCACCTGCGTGGCGGCATCCTTCAAAATCAGGTTACGGATGGTGGATTTCACAGTGATGTTGGCTCGAACAATCACTTCCACTGATGTCGCGTCATAGTACTCCTGCGGGCAAAAGGAAACAGGGCTCAGAACAACCCAGAGCCACCTGCGTGTCCTCCAGCGAGTGACAGCGCTTCCAGTTTGGACGCTTCAGCATTGCTACTGCAAGCGGTTTTTGTTCCCCTTGCATCCCCTGGAATGTTATGTGCAGCTTCCCCAAAATGATACTTCAAGCGACTCTGGGCAAGGACAGCAAGTCAGCCCTGTTGCACATCAGCTACATCAGCTCCCACAAAGAAAACCTCTGTCCCAAAGAGCAACGCATGTTCATGCACATTCCTCCCTAGTGCGAAACACAGAGGATCCCCAGGTCAGTCAAGGGAAAAAATAAAAAGACGAGGGTCGTGATGCAAAGGGGGTGTAAATCTCACCACCATGTTTCTGGGAGCAAAGATCTCCCAGCAGAGAAAGCAAAAAAAAAAAAAAAGTATTTGGTGTCCCCCTGGGTCAATGTGCACAATTGGTACCTGCTGTGCCTTGACAACAGGTTTGCCACCCATCGCCCAGCTGAACCAGGCACTTTCACAATTCCACAAGTGCAGCGAAAAGTACGCAAAACAATCATGAAAATATTTGTGCACGCTGTAGATACAATTTTTTAGAAAACAGTTTGCCAAGCGCTGTGTGAATGCTTGGAGGGACTTGCCATCTCCTACTTGGGAGCCAGCCAAGGGGGATGCACCATGAGAAGCAAAGAGGATGAAGACCTTTTCTTGCCTGGGGTGGCAAGACCTTTGGCAGCAGGGCGTTGGGCAGGAAGGCGTGTGCACAGCCCAGCACTGAGCACCCAGGTGTGCAGGTGCTTTCCCCAGGGAGGGAACACCTGGGGGAGAGGGCGGAGGCAGTGTGGCACCAGAGGGATGAAGAGGAGAGCGGGGAAAGGGACAGAGGTGTGGACACTGCAGAAGAAGTGATGTCCCTCTTCAGTGCAATACAGTGCGCACCTCTGCTCTGTGCTCATGCCACACTTCTGGCAAAGGCCCCTTCTGCCCCACATTTATCATAACACACGAACCACTGCAAATTCACTCGTGAACAGTAACGTACAGCAATGTTAGGCCCACCCCCGAGATACATATTGCTATTTCTCCAAAATCCAGCAGGGGGCATCTGACTAACCTCTAGGAAAGTGCTGTTCCATAAGCGGCCCCAGACAGTCAGCACAGCTGAGCGGTCAAAGCTGGGGAGCGGGCACTGGAAGAGCTGGCAACGGGCAGTGCCCTGCGCACAATCCTGAAGCACAACGGGGGAAAAACGGGAGATGTCAGTGCCAGGAAGCCAATGCAGTATCAGACCATCACACCTTCCTTGGCTCCAACTATACCAACCAAAAACTCCTCACATTAGGGCAGGCCTTTACTATATTGAGACCTCAGAAGAGTAGTACCAGGTGGCAGCTACCTGCAGTGTTTGCTGACGAGCCTCACCTTTCCCACAACTCGCTCACTGTGATCATGCCGTAAAAATTAGCAGGGTTGCTCTTTCTGCTGCTGCTATGACTTCAGAGGACACGTGCTCCTATGCACCTCATTATGACCATGGGAGTACAGTATGTTCGTATGCTCCTGGTGTAACTAAGCCCTGATTTTGTTGTTAAATGAAAAATCATTTAAGAGGCTGCATAGTAGAGGCAACAGCAGGGAGAGGCAAATTAGTGCTTTTATTGCTGGCTCTTTTTCTAATCTGAGACTGGGTTCAACCTCACTTATAAGCAAAGTTGACAAGCCGTGGCTACTCCAGGGGTAGAAGATCCACTACAGTTAACTTGTCATCCAACCCTGGATGGCATGATCCATCATGAGTCTGCGGAAGCAGCAAGAAGGCCTCTGAGCAAAAGCAGCAACCCCAGCCCTTTCGCCACCCTCGCAGGGCTGCTCCCAGGCAGCCATCACTGCTTACTTGTGAAAGTCAGGTGGCACCTCTTTCAAAAAAGGTGGGGAGCAGGAAACCATGTATCAACTATAGCTATATAGCTTCCTGCCAAAACCATTCTTTTGACCCTTTCTAAATCCCACTTTTGACAGCCATGAAAAGTAACTCTTCCCATAAAGGAGGTGGCTTCTGCGTGTTCCTGAGGGGTCAGGATCTCGGGAACAAGTGCAAAAGTGAGGACTCCTGTAGGAAAGATGAGGCCAAGGAATAAAACAGAACATGGACACCTGGTCATGACAGAGATGGACAGGGATGCTGCTCCACTCTTGTGAGCAAAGATCACTTGGGCCTTTCGTTATATCTGACAGCTTGCCTTATGACAGCTGTGGACCCAAAGAGGAAGATCAGTTCACAAGCTTGGCTGTAGCTTATTTCACAATGTGAACTACTGTATCATGTGAACACATCCGGAGTCAGTCATGACCCCAACTCTTCCCACCCCACGAGGTCCCAGGTGAATGTTTACTCTTGTAAAGTGCCTCTCGAGGCTCCTGTCATATCGAAAACTGTCAGAGCTCCATTGCTCACACCAGGCATTCACCCCTCTCTGTGCTTCTGTGGCTGAGCGAGAGGGCTGGAGGATTGGGGTCATGTCACAGAATGCCAGGCGATGCAACAGGTCCCACGCTTGACTAGTAATACCCTTGCTGCCTGGAATCCATACAGCCTTCATGCAGAACCTAACTCACCAAAGTAGCATTTTTTCGCCTTTCCCAGTAAGTCAGGGATTGGCTGGGCGCCTCCGCCGGCTCAGCTTCTCTTTTCTTCCTACCCTGATTAGTTATCTCCTGAAGGAAAGGGCAGGGGGTTTAAGAACACAACAAATACCTGTCATTTTCTGCTCTGAAATTTTTTAAAAAAATGCATTTTCACTGCTGTTTCAATCAAGGCACACACTAGCAAGTGGTTTTCAGGGATCCATTAAAACAAAAACGCAGCAACTTTATGCACAGGTGCATCAATGAGTCAGAGGGGAATAATGCTGGTACACTTGAATGAACAATAATGTGAAAGAAAGCCATGGCTCGGCTTTTCCGTGGGCAAGCATGGGCAATAGCCAGATCTGTGATTTTGCATGGGAGGAAATGCCTGACAACATGGGCCTTCTGAATGAGAGGGATAATCTGATTTCACAGGACTGTGCTTTGGGATGGGGAGCAATATACAGTAAAGCCAGGTTTATGCTTCTGGATAGGGAATGGTAAAACTATTTTGCCAACTCTGCATGTGAAATGCCTGAACAATTTGGAACTGAACAAACGGATGATTTTCCAGCCCTTGAAGAAGGCTATTTCAGAAACACATAGAGCAATAATATTTTTTCCCACCCTGGCACCCAGGCCTTTGCATTGTACTCCCCTCTTGGTTGCCTTCTTTTACACTCACCTCTCCTCTTCTTGTCTGATCATGGCAGGCAGCCCCTACGCTGAAGCTGCCCTCGCCTCCTCGTAGAGGTGGAACGAGAAGGCCAACAGTCTGCATCACCTGCGTAGAATGTCTTCCACCTTTGCCTAGTTTCCATGCCACTTACCAGAGTCAGATTCAGTGGGTTGGGTTTGGGGCTGCAGGTGGTGCGATCCTGAGACTGGGTCAAGAGCTCCATCTTCAGGGGGTAGAGGAGCCACTTCCCATTCACAATTTCAATAGGCCACATGAGGTTGAGGAAGGCAGAGCCCAGGGTAGAAAATGGCTGGCCTCTGTTTGAGACCTGGTGGGGGACAGCAAGAGACAAGAGAATCAGGGATGGAAAGGGGTGGAGGAGAAGTGCACTGAGGCACACTTATCCTCCTAGGGGCTTACTCCACACCTGTGTGTGGATGTGTGCTTTGTATCAGTCTGCAGCCCATCCCTCCCTGTTTCTCCAGCCACTGGCACCAGCGAAATCTTCATGTCATCCAGAAACAGGCTGCAATGGAAGAGGCCCTGTGCCGCGGAGGGAGAGGCAAGGGTTAAGAACTGAGGTACCTATATCAGGCTGACACAGGGGGCCTCCAAGGGAGGGTAACAGCTGCTGGAGTTTGCCAGAGATACACAACCTTTGCCAGGGAGGCACCAGAGATGGCACCAAATGGTGAGATTCTTTGATGTCACCCCTGAGAACAAAGGATTCTGATTGCTCAAGGAGGGTATAAAAAGGGAGGGCCAGAGGTCAAGCAGCGCCTCTGGAGTCATGGGGAGAGGTTTGCGGAAGGGCACAAGCTTCCGAGTTTCAATCTGCTACTCTCGAGAAGACTGTTAGCTACCTAGGACATTAAGATTTTTAGACTAGCTAGTGTCTGTTGTTGTAGTGCCTGGGGTGGCCAAATGACCTAAAGGGATTGAATACCTGTGACTGTATTGGTTTGACTGAAAGCTGCTGTCCATTTTCCCCTTTGCTATACCTTTCCCCCTACCTTTGTGTAGTTGTAATTGTACTTGTGGTTTGGATGGAATGTTTGATGTGGTTTAATAAAGTCCCTTTCCCCCAAGTCTTGGGTCACTGTGTGTTGGTCCGGTGAGGTTTGGCTTGTTAAGAGGAGAAACAGGACTGCTGAGAGGGGGGAAATCTCGGCAGTGTTGTGGGGGGGGGGGGGCGGGGTTGCCCCACCATTACACAAGCACTTGAAGGGCAGGAATATTTAATCATTTTTGTCGGTTTCCTGTGGAATACATAATCTTTAAATCATTTTGATTAGGATTATTGGATCAGGAAGCTCCGTATTCTTCCCCCGTGATAGAAAAGGAAACTGTTATATGCATGGTATGAAAAATGACAAGGATCCTAAATAACGGTAGCTTTCCATCTGTCATCTCTGAGCCCTTAGATCCATCCCCACCCTGCACTTCAGAACTGGCAATAACATTCAGGATCCCAGACCCAGATTTCAAGCAACACTGTGCTAGATTAGTCCAGAGCAGCCTCCTTCAACCTGGTGCCTGGCAGATGTGTTAGACTACAGATCCCATCATCCCTAGCCAGCACACCTATGGCTGCTCTACACATAACAGGAACTACCAAGCAGTAGGGGCTACAGACAAAGGTTCGAGGCTCTGGCCTGGGGGAGCTACAACGTTTTACTCACCGTCACCTTGTAGCGCACTGGGCTGCCCACCTCCGTCTCCTTTTTTATGGCGCTTTCACCTCGCACCTCCCCACTGAAGAAGAGCTGTTGTGGCTCGGCCACTCTGCGGAGGGTGGAGCAGAGGGGAGAGATTAGTCTGGGCACACCGAAGGCTCACGAGGCAGCGAGAGAGAGAAAGCAAGCCTCTGCCAAATGCCTTCTTCCAAAGGCAGTGGCTCCCATGGCACTGATCATGGATTGAGTCCTTTCTCCCGTTAATTCCCAGAGGCTGTGTCTGTGCTGCATACCAGAAAGGTGAATTCTGTGCCAACAAGGCACCTCAGAATTCTCCAGCAGGGAGAAAATGTGTGTATTGAATGCTTTTGAATTTGCTGGTTTGGGAGAATCTACGATGCTTTGCTCAGTCCCAGGGGAAGTGGCTGGGCAGACACAGAAGCTGTCCTGGCTTCTGAAAGCCTTGATCAGACTCCACGCTGGCTGCCAGCTACCCCACTAAGTTCTCGGTCACACATTTTCATTCCAAAACCGGACCTTTTTTACTCCCAAGGATCAGAACTTTGTGGTGGACTTCCCAAAGCACAGCTGCATCTTGCACATTTAAGATGGTTCCACACACCCAGCCCAGAAGATGCTGCCTTTGATTTGAGTGGGGTCAAGAGAGCACAGAGGTGGGGCACCACTCTTGGCCAAAGGGCCGGCCTCCATCTGGGAGACTTTCTTGAGGGCGTGTGATCTGGTGGGGGGTGGGGCTCAGCACTTGCAAAATACGAATGGCAGCATATTTGTCTGATGCAACCATACTGTAGTTTCAAGACACAACCTGTGCAAGCTTGCCCAGAGAAAAAGGCCGACAACTTCAAGCATGCTCTGGCCAGCTGTGTACACAACCGCACTTGCCACTCCAGATTCAGTTTGGGAAGGGAGTACAAAGGAAGATGGCGGCCTGCTTTGTTCTTCTAAAATCACATGCTGCACGGCCCGGGATCACTTTGTGACAAGAGGAACCCAGACGACATGCAGGTGACATGCCTGCAGATTGCTTGGGACAACCGTCCATAGGAAAGCAGCCCATCCAGGCCAGCCTGCACATTTGCACAGGTCCAGCCGCACGGATGCTTAGCTATGTCGGGGCTGCAGAGTAAATTCAGAATATGCACGGGAAGAAGATAGGTAGCGTTTCTCATATGGCGTAATATCTTCCTTCACAGGAATGTTTTGCAATGATTTTCAGGGAGTAATGACCCATGAAAATGTTAACACAAAATTTTAGAAGAAAATCAGTCAGTGAGAATTACAATTTCAAATAGATCTTTAACTTTCATTTTCTAGACCTATTTATTTATTTATCCATTTTATAGCCTGCCTTTTTCCTACAAAGGGCTCAAGGCAGCTCACATCATTCTCCTCCTCCATCTTATCCCCACAACAACAACCCTGTGAGGTAGGTTGGGCTGAGAGTCTGTGACTGGCCCAAAGTCAACCAGTTGGCTCCATGGCTGAGCAGGGACTAGAACCCAGATCGTCCGAGTCCCAGTTCCATGCTCTTAACTACTACACCACACTGGCTGTCTACACCACACCACACTCACCAATGGTGGCGAACCAGTGGCACGCATGCCACAGCGAGCACACAGAGCCCTCTCTGTCGGCGTGCGAGCCAAGTCGCCCCAGCATTGCCCCAGCAGCCGAGCATCAGATAACAACAGACACAGGGGCCATGCCCATGATCAGAAATATGTAGCGGTGCCAGGCGATGATGTCACAAGCCGCAACACATTGCCCGCAACTCGTCTGAGCTTTCGCATCACTGGTCAGTGTGCTGCCAGGGATATATATATATTTGCTTGGACTGGCTGTTTACCGGTTTTATTGCAATTTTGGCACTTTGCGATAAATAAGTGAGTTTTGAGTTGCAGTTTGGGCACTTGGTCTCTAAAAGGTTCACCACCACTGGGTCGGGGTTACAAAAACGAGGTGTCCTGGCATGATTTTGATGGCTGGAATGTGTTTAGAGTGGGCAGAAATGATGAGCTGTGCAGAAAAAGCTACCCAAGGAAGGCTTTTTTAAATCGCCCTCTTTTCAATGGAACTTTAGCCCTATATTAGGGTTGGGGAAGGCACCAGGGTAGGGTTAGGCCAGTGGTGGCGAACCTATGGCACACACTGCCTAGGATATATATATATATATTTGCTTGGACTGGCTGTGAGTTGTTTTTTGTAAAGTAAAACCTGTTTTCAGATTTTATTGTAGCGTTGGCACTTTGCAATAAAGAAGTGGGTTTTGCATTGCAGTTTGGGCACTCGGTCTCTAAAAGGCTCGCCATCACTGTTCTTGTCAATGCCCCATATTCTGGGCATGTTCTTCAGCAGACACCCACTTTTTTTACAGTGTATACAACCTTCCCCAACCTTGTGCCTTCCAAATGTGTCGGACTACAACTCCCAGAACCCCCAGTCAGTATGGCCAGTGACCTATATGGGTCTGCGGTCGAATCCATCTGGAGGGCCACCAGGTTGAGGAAGACTGGCATGCAATACATTTGGCCTGACAAGAGAGCTACCTTAACTGGAGCTGAATATAAACTCTTCCCACGTTGCACTTACCCCGTAACCGAGAGAGGAAGCTCCATGACCACACGGGCACGTGCCGTCACTGGGACCAGCCCTGGCTGCTCTGAGGTCCTGCCAGGGAGGAATTGAAAAGGCTTAGCTAGGTCAGGCCTTCGGGTCCTGTGCCATCTCCACCCACTCTTTCCTGCTCTAAACGTCCGTATATGCCCGACCGCCCCTTGAGATCTGCGGGAGAGGCCCTTCTCCGGGAACCCTCCATGAAAGAAATTAGGAGAGTAAGTACTCAGAGGAGGGCTTTCTCTGCGGTGGCGCCCAACCTATGGAATTCACTCCCCAAAGAGGTCCACCTGGCACCGTTGTTACTGGTTTTTCGGCGCCAGGTAAAGACCTTTTTATTTAAACATCTTTTTAATTGTTAAAACATATGATCTGGCCAGGGCAACTTCTTCTTCCTTCTCTTTCTCCTCCTATATTTTTATTTACTTATTTTATACTGATAATTTTAATTTTATATTTGTAAATCAATGTATTTTTTGTATTTTTTTATTTAATGGTAATTTATTATGTTCTATTGTATTTCAATGTATTTTATTGTGTTGTAAGCCGCCCCGAGGCTTTGGCAAGGGGCGGCATAGAAATGTAATAATAATAATAATAATAATAATAATAATAATAATAATAATAATAAACTATCTGACACCCCCTGCATCCTCCCCACAGCTCATGATCAGATGAATGTCTCGTATTCCCTGCTGATGGCGAGTAACAGAAAAGGGAGCGTTAAAAATGCAAGCAAAGCAAAGCTCTGACTTTGAAACACCCTAGATTTAGGCCATCATTCATAGAAATGCAGGGCTCTCAACCTGCTAAGTTCCATTTGGCTCAGTTTCTGCCTTTCCCAAGCTTAAGTTTGCTTCATCCCATTTCTCTCACACTTTCTGATTGAAAAAGAAATCTTCACACAACTTTGTGTGCATATTTATTCAGATTTCTCCTGAAATATGCATTTGTGCACTTTCCCTAATGCATGCACATTACAAGCAATTTCCAATAAAATAATGCATTTGGTATGTTATTTTTATAATATGCACATTTTTGTGCATACAGTCCCTAGTAAATGTGTATTTTATGCACATTTTTGACTGGAAACTGTATCCCAAAGCTCAGAAAAGAGCAAATCCTAAAGAATAATTGCATTTCAGTTTGCATATTGATTCAGGAACTGCTAATTAGGTAATTTCACATTCAGTTGGAAACTAAGCAACCTTCTCCTCCATCCATATGAGGTGCAGTCTGCAGAAGTGGCAGAGGACCTCTTAGAATAATGCGCTTTCCTTTTATCTAGCAAACTTGGCTCTTGAGGAAAAGGGGAACAATGCTCACGTGTTAAGTTCTAGCCCCACTTCCAGCTCTGAGGTCTCCAAGGTAATGCCAGAGGTGCTCAGAACAAGGTAGAACCGAACCTGAGGAAAGAAGGAGAGGAAGATGGGGGTGGACAGAAATCAGAGATACAAAAAGGCCTTAAAAGCTGTGTGTGTGAGTGAAAGTGATGTTCGTGTTACCTGTGCACCACGTTTCATAGGGTTCCCAAGATCACATTCAACATATGAGGAATTCTGGTTAGACACACAGGATGGGGCCTTTTCCTGCAAAAGGCAAGATATCAGAAGAATATGTTTGCAGGAGTTGTATGGTACAAAAGCAAGCAAGCAAAATTATCCAATCTTTAATCTAAATTCTGCACTAAGAAACCTGAATGTTGTGATCAGAATAAATTACTGCATAATTTCATTTCACCCTCATCCATTTTCCCCACCCCGCCCTCCAAAACCTGGATTTTGGAAGAATTTGGAACAATATATAAGGGCTGGAGTAATAGAAGGATATGGATAGTGCAGATAGACTTGCTACTAATAGCAGCACCTGTGGCTCCTGTTCTGAGATCCCATCATACACTGTGTGGTCCCACCATGCTGCCCTCGAGGGAAAATGCACAGCCCGGTGAACGTTTCTACCCCCTCAGCTGGGAACTGTGGCCCCTTTCATTTCAAGGGCAGGGGAATTGCCCAAGGGGGCAGCTTCCTCATCAGCCGCCGCACAGCCAGGCCTTCTCTCTCAAGCACAGCCACCAAGTCCCGCAACAGCTGTGCGGCCCCCTCAGCCACTGGCATGATCAACTTCGCTGGGCCGCCCTCCACTGTTCTCCACTGCCCCTGCATGAGCTGTGCACCTCTGCTGCCCGGGACAAGGAGCCGCACACCCCCCCAGCGCCATATGGGTTGGTCCTTCCATGTGGGCTACAGTCATCCTTCCAATCCCAAATACGGCTGGACCATGCTTTCTTCAGATGCCCTACTGTACCACAGCCCTGAAGGTCTGCAGACAGATGCTTCAGGAGCCAGTCCTTCAAATGCTACTTGGTTTTCACCTCACAGGTGGTGTTCCCTTCCTGGAAGCAGCATCCAAAATGCCAGCAGCCCATCAAGCCTGTAGAGGAGCACCTTTCTTTGCCCCTCCCACCCACCGCGGAATCTCACACAGCCGTCTGCAAAGTGTACCGTGGCATTGTAGGGGCGCAGGGTGGAGTAGGGCAGGGTAGGAGGCAGGAAGATGGACAGCATGGCTTCATGGGCATCGTCTCCATCCTTATGTGGCTCAGCTGCATCCGAAGGAAAGTTGGTGAGGTAGATTTCAAGGGCTACAAACTTTTGCTCACTCATAGAAAAAATATCCAAACCGTCATCACCCCTGGAGGAAAGGAACAGAGGCTCTTATGAGGGGCTCAGCAAAGCAGGACAGCTTCAGAAGGAGAACTCCTGACTGGACTAGTCCCTGTCAGTCTGGGCCAGTCTTCCTCCAGATGCTTTGGACTACAGCTCCCAGCATTCCCGCGTATTGGCCATATCGGCTGGGCTAATGGGAGCTGAAGTCCAAAACATCCGGAAGGTTGGAAAAGGCTGGGGCGGCAATACCAAAATGGGCTGGGCGAGCTGGTCCTGAAGGAACCAGGTCAACTTCCTGTGGGATCAGCAAAGCTGAGCTCTGCAGGAGCCCTTTCTTCAAGCCTACGGAGGGATGCTGGAATGCCGGAGTGGCAAAGCTATGCCAAGAACGGGAGGGTGATGAGCGTCCTCCTCATTTGTTGCCACTGGGTGTCCTGTGGAGCACCTGCTCTGCTCTTGCTGAATGAATGTCGAGTCGTCCCGTCTATGCCCTACCCAAGCAAGAATTGATCTGCTGTTCATACCGGGGCAGGGGATGGAAGACGGCATCATCCAAACGTAGGCAGAACTTGTAGCTCAGCTGCAGGTTGCTCTGACAGACCTTATCCTCCCCGCAACCCTGCTTGAGGAAATGCACCTGGAGGAACACAAGGCCCAAAGGTAAGCGGATGTGAACATTACATAACGGAGGGGCAGCTCAGAAAGCAGGCAGAACTGCTTGCTGGAGGAGACAGGGATGGCGCAAGCTGCAGGGCTGACCCCCAGCTCAGGCGCAAGCAGCTTGTGGACCCAGAATATAACATAAAAGGGGACTGTGCAAGAGTTTAATGTCATGCCTGTTGACTGTTTTTCCTCACAATAAACGTTCCTTTGTTGTTTACATGTTGCAGGGGATCCAGACATCTTTCAGTTGAATAAATATCGCATTTCACCATCATTCAAAACTGTAGTATTTTGCATGGGAAAGTAGAGGAGACTAAACTAGGTATGATACAGGAGGCTTAAAATTGGAAAGTCCAGCAGTTAAAGGAAAAAACTAGCAATAATTTTAGTCCACAGAGACTAAGAAGATCACTTTTTTAAAATTATTTCCCACTTCATTGTCTTCCCAATTTGAACTGGCAAGGATTTGTCCCATAAAGAGTTGTGCAAATACAAGGGAAAACCAAGGTGAGCCACAAACTTCAGAGTCCGTATACCCAACTGTATATGCAGGTTTTGCCTGTCTTGCTCTCAAGCAACGGACGGTGACAGTGACAGCAGTGAAAAGGCCCCGGGGTTAAGGAGTGATTGAGCCTCAGTCCTCACCCACATTAGTCTGCAGGTCCCTTATGTGATGCCATCATCCTTCAGGGCCTCTCCTGTTCTTTCTGAGCATTTCTCAGGCTCTTTTTAGAAGGAAGATAACAGGCTACTAAAGGGCCAGCATCCTATAAAATACTACAAATGGTTGTGTATTTTCATAATTCCACTAGACTGCAGTGCCACATTGCGGCTGAGTATTGAAACAGATAGAAAGGCAGAGAAAGGAAAACATGCGAAGGAGTCAGTCCTAATTCCACAAAGAATCTCGAAACAGAAACCTCAATAAAATGGCAGGTTAAGACAGGTTAACAACCTCAGGGACACGGCTCAGTTTCTCTTACGAGGCCCTCATGGATTTAACCAATAAGTGAACACCCTAATCCCAGAGCAGCGTTGGCCCCGTCACCGTTACCCACCTCCGTCCTCTGCGTGTTAGGTGGCAGGACACTCATGACTGGTGGCAGCGGGCCCAGTGTGGCACCCGGGGCCTGGCGTCTGCTACGGGCGTGCTTGATGTTATAGTTCACCACCACAACAATGGGCCGCAGCTTGTCACGGACTTGGTCCTGCAGGAAAGATGGCCATTTGAGGAAGAGCAAACACCTTCCTTGCATGAAACAGCTTTTGAGCAGACTTCTCTCCTCGCTGATCCTGTCCCTTCCTGACCTGTGCACCCTTGCCTGCAAAATGGCAGGCGGTGGCAGCTGTGGGATTTGCAGCCGATATTTGATGCAGCGGCCAATAACAGAAATCCCACAATGCAACTGGGGGAATGAGTCATTGTGAGGGCCGGTGCAAAAGGCAGTGGAGGCTGGCAGCTCCGAGAGCCCTTCTCCATTGCGGTGTTTACGCTGATCTTTATAGGACCTACCCCTGGTGCTGCAGGGCTGTACACCTGTTCTGGGGATGAGGTCCAGCACCACGGACAGTTCCTATATAGCCCAGTATATAAGCTGCAATAGAGAGGGAGTTCCAGTGACACAGAAGCCATCAGCATCCCCTGGCAAAGTGGCAAAAATCTGGATACAGACCGTCTGGTAGAGTCAGTGTTGGTGTACTAACGCACCTTAAAAATGGGCCAAATTCTTTTGGACTCATTGGACAAGTCCCTGGAAGGCTAGGATAAAATTCTTACTGAGCAAGTAAGTCCATTTAAGAAAAAAATGTTAGTTTGAGTAGCAAGAGACCATGCACCAAGACAGTCTCTCAATGGAAGCTGATGATTCTGAGAGGAAGAGTGGAATACCGGTGAAGGCACCAGGTCGCTGCCTTGCCCCCCTCCCAGCTAGGAACAATAGTGCAATGCTCTTTGGTGTAAGAGAAAAGGCATTCCTGTTCAGTACATGAATAGTTTGCAGGACTGCTTTCAGAAGTTTAGAACAAGCCTGCCACCAGCTCCCTAGCATCCCCTTCAAAGGGCTGGCTTGGAACAATGGCAGACAAGTATGTGGCACATAGAACCCTTCTTAATAAATAAATGAATAAATGCACCACCCAGAATAATATTCCAGTTCAGTGATACAGGAAAATGGAAACGTGGGATTTGAAGCCAGGGTGGTGTGGCTTGTCTACTTGGTGCTTTATTGCCATAAAGACCACGACATCCAGTGACTGCTTTCCTTCATAGCTGCGGGGGAAGGGATATTTTGGATGACCTCAAGAGATTGTGCATCTCTAAGGGGATGCTCTGGTCCAAGACCCACCTTCAGCTGTAACGTGGCTTTGGCACAACTACGGACGTGTTGCTTGTGCAGCTCCACTGTGCCAAAGTACTGATATTCAGGGTCTGTGTTCTTCTGGCTCCAGAAGGCAACTCTGGAAGGCTGGCCTAATCCCCGTCGGTAAGTATCAGCATCAAAAGTGTATTCAAGCACTGGGGGAAGGAGTGGAGGCAGTGAGTTGCGACGGGATGGGGTGAAAGAAGAGGAACTGAAAGCGTCTCTTACTGGTGCCAAGATCCAGCTTCTTAAAGAAGGTCCCTGTATCTGGTTTCAGGGCTGGCATCAAGGGTAGGCATGGTCGGGCATCAGCCCAGGCCCACAGCGCAGCAAGGGCTCCCTGACAAGCACCGCCTGGACTTGCCGCTTCTCTTCAGCACTGCAACCTACTCATTCACTTGCCTCTGGCTCAGGGCGAGGAGCAGCAGCAGTGGGTGCCCCTGTTAGGCAAGCCCTGCTAGCCCTAATGAGAAAGAGGACAAGGGACAAGAGCAGCTGGGGACCATGGTGGTGGGGAGGAGGGCTCACCGAGGGAGGGGCCCCACTGATGGGTCTTCCCCAAGGGCCTTCCTCATCTGGGAGCCAGCACTGCCTGGCACTGGGGCAAATATGACTATCCTCCTCAAGATGTCCACCAAGCCACCACTGCACATGGACTGTGGCTGGGCCCCTTTGCTGGGCATCCGTGCGTCAAGGACATTGGAAGAGTTGCCCAGGATCAGAACCACAAGTAGCCAATAAGCACAGTGAGGTCCAGGCAATACTCACCAATGGGTGGACTGTAGCTTGGAGGGTTGGCCGAGTAGCTGAAGCAGGCCTTCACATCCACACTGCGGAAGGAAGCGGACAGAGGGAAGCTCACTCAGTAACTGAAAGTGACCTGCACCGAGCTCCACCCACCCATCCCTCACTTGGGAGGAATGGGAAGCCAGCCTCGGCCGTTCAGTCTGCCAGAAGAGGCCTCCCTTTCTCCCGGGATTAAATGGGGCTAATGCAGCCAAGGACATTTCACTGCTCTTGAGTCAAAGGGGTTTGATGCAGTAAAGCAAGATGGCATCCCAGCCAAGGATCATGCCATGAGCCCTCAAAAGTTGGCCCCTGCACTACGGAGGAACATGGCATTCTGGGACAGTTGAAACAGGAGCAATAAGGTGTGTGCAAAGCCATCACCCAAAGGTGCTCTGGTGCCTGCAGCCATCCCACCCGCAGCTTGTGTGGTCCAGTGCTGGATCCACTCACTGGGCCAGAGACAGGTGTGTTGGCTGGCAGAAACTGGGAGGGCAGCACTTTGGAGAAGGCTGCTCTGGACTCAGTACCTGCCTGGCGCTGTGGAAGGTACCTCTGTTTCCTTTCATAGCCACACACACTGGAATAAGGCAAGAAAGGCAGAGATGGATCCATGGCAGCCTGAGAAAGGGAGGGAAAGGGCAGCAGGGAAGAGAAAGAAACAGCCAGGGAAGAAGCCATTTTCTCACCAGATGCTTTTCCCCTGGCGGCAGTTCATGTGCTCCAAGTCAATGTTCTGGGGGCTGATGGAGACATTTCTGGAGATGTGGACGACAGGACGGGACCTAAAATGCATATTGGATATTCGTAAGTGATTGCACAGCTGTGGACGACAAAGCCTGCATGCTTGGGAAAGTTTTGTGTATCAGTGCTGCAAAGCTCTTGAAACAGGTGTTGCTTCCTGCGAGCTTAACTGAATATCCAGGTAGCAAGGAAAGCGCTTGGGAGGGATGGAGGAGACACACGACCTTCCCTGCCAGCTCTTCTATGGCTCGCTGTGCAACAAATCCCAGTCTGCTCCTTCCATGCTTTCCCACAACTTATTTCCAACATCCCTTCCTGCAGCTGCTTCAGCAGACACGGGCCAGTGGAGTCCAGAAGCCAATCCTGCCTTCTTGTGCCGTCTCCTCCGGCTGATGGTCCATAAAGCAGGGAAAGGGGACCTCTGCTCTGACCGATGGATTGGATAGGGCTCGCAGGTGACACCCCATCTCTCCAAGTGGCACTCCTCTCCAGGTCAGGGAGGTTTCCCCTCCCCCTCCCTCTCTCCACCCCCTCCCCCTCTGCATTGAGGCTTTTTACAAGCCTAAGTAGAGCACATGGGGGGCACGGAGATGGGGTTGTTGCTGAAATGGGAAGGGATAACCCGTGGCACCCTCCTGGCAGAAAGATCCATGTACACAATGCTTCTAAAAAGCCTCCACTCTCACATTTTCAGGTGAGAGGTGCATGTGTGAATTCAGAAGTTGTGCATGTATTTACAAGCGAGTGTGTATTTATGAGTGTGTCTGGGTCTCAGCCATCACATGGAGGATACGTCAGCAACTGGATGTCCCACCAGCTTCTGCATGTGCTCCCTCGAGGTGCTTTCCTGGAGTCAGTTTGGCTTTCAGTCCAAAAAAAGCACCCCACCCTGTCCTAAAGCCTGGTTGGCATTTTGCCGTTTACCTAAAGCCCAGCCTTGCTGCTGAACTTTAGCACCCCGAGCGTCTGTGCAGAATTCGTCCAATAACCTGCGGGGAATCTTGGAGACAGCCCGCTGCTGTGCCATGGCTCCTGCTTCGAGTACTGGCCCAAGCTGGCTGTGTGGCGAGCCAGGCACCTCTCACGCTATGGCACCCTTCCACAAGAGGTGTTGGAATACAGTTTTCCTCACCCCCAGCCAACGTGGCCACTGGGAGCTGCATCTGGAGGGCATTCAGTGGAGGAAGGCTGCTCTGTGAGCGCTGCGATGATGCAGCTGGGACAGGACAGGGCAGAATGAGCGCATTTCCTGGTTGAGGAGGAGGGAACATCCCAGCTCAAGGTTTCCCACTTAAAGGGAAGTTGTCAGCTGAGACCAGGTGTGAGTCATGGCAGGTAGAGGGAAGCAGAATCTGGAGGGGAATCAGGGGCATTAGTTGCTGTGCTAGGTTATCTTCTATGAGTCGTGGCCACAAAGATTCATCTCTCACTCTTGACATATCAGGCTTACCTGTACAGCACCACTGTGTCCGAGAGCGAACCCACCAGGAGATCTGGGTAGAAGTTGCCATCAATATCCAGTCCTCCAGAAAAGGAATACCCAAACATCTTGACGCCAACACTCTCCCCCGTCAGGATCTACAGAGGATGAGTGTGCAAAACAGGGCTGGTGATAGGCATGGTATGAGGAAGAGGGATGGGCAAAGTAAAAGGGAGGCATGCATAGCCCAGAGAGAGGGCACGTCACGTTCTCCAAGCCACCTGCAAGGTGGAGAGTGGCAGACGGACCTGAGCGGGTTTGGTGATAATTCCCAGATTGCTTCCATGGTAGATATAGACCTTGCCATCACCATCCAAAGGGGCCCCGACGGCAAAGTCTGAAAGACAAGAGTAGCACAGGGTAAGAACATCCTCTCACCCCTTTTCCCACACCAGAAGGCCCTTGGAGTTCTCTCACCTTGGAAGCCATCCTGGTTGAGGTCACCCACAGCGCCCACTGTGATACCAAACAGGGAATCATAGGAGCCGTTGAGGCGCACAGGGAGGGCATTATCCCAGTGCCCCGCCTGGTTGATGTATACATAGGCAGCACCTCCAATCCCTTCCTTCCGATCAAAGAAGTTTGGGGCCCCAACCACCAAGTCCATCCACCTAGAGATAAGAAGCTGTGTGTCTGTCATTTTATTTATTTAGTTAAGGTATTTCTATACCATTCTCCATCCAAACAGATTCCAGAAAACTAGAGTATGAACTTAAGACAAGTAAAATAATAAAAACAATACATTAAAACCATTTAAAAACAAAATAATATTAAGACCATGGCTAGTCAGTAAGAAAAGGCTTTCCAGAATAAGACTGCCTTATGCTGCCAAAAACAGAACACTTATTGGTGCCTGCCTGACCTCCCAAGGCAGAAAATTCCATAGAAATGGGGCCACCACACAGAAGGCTTTTCTTCTGATGGTCTCCAGGTGGACCATGCGTCCATGTGGAACCCCCAGAAGCAGGTCCTCTGATGACCTCAGTGAGTGGGCAGGTTGGTAAGGAAGGCACTTTCTCAGGTATCCTGGTACTGAGTTGTTCAAGATCTTGTATAGTAGTACTAAAATCTTAAACCCAGCCCAGCATCAAATGTAGCAGTTCCATCATAGAAAAACCTGACTGCTCTCAGCGTATCAGTAGCCATGTTGCTTCCATTGAATGAGAAACAGAGAGCAAGTCAAAACATTTTGCCAGACCATTTGTATTACTACTTCACTGCACCATGAGACAGTCTAGTTAGGCATGTCATGAGTGGCTGGAGTCAGGAGTCAGACTAGATGGCCCAGGAGACCCCTTCTGACTTGCTGTTTCTATGTGTCTATGTTCCTAGTTCTTTCCTGCTGGGATCCCCCATCCAGAAGACTACGGAGAAGACACGCATGCCCATGGCTTTCCAATTGCTAGTCTCAAACTCATAGCAACCTATGGAAAGCTGTGACCTCAAGTTTTAAGCAGAATGTAACCATCTCCATCCATCCTCTTGTGGCTCCTGTGGGAAAGGAGACTTGCCACATCTACTGCAGCACTAGATGGCACACGGAGAGCCAGCGTGGTGTAGCGGTTAAGAGTGCGGCACTGCGACTCAGGCGACCTGGGTTCCAGTCCCCACTCAGCCATGGAGCCAACTGGGGGACTTTGGGCCAGCCACAGACTGTCAGCCCAACCTCCCTCACAGGGTTGTTGAGGGGGTAAGATTGAGAGCAGGAGGAGGAGAATGATGTGAGCTGCTTTGAGTTAGGCGGGATATAAATCAAATAAATAAATAGATCAGCAGCAGAAACGGAGACTGTGCCCATGTCCCATTCATGCAGGAGGCCATCTCCTTTCCGCAGTACTCACCCATCATGATTGAGATCCACCACAGCCAGGGAATAGCCGAAGGAGGAGGCGAGCTTCTCTCCCGGGAGGATGACCTCGGGCACCAGCCGGTTGACATTGTCTCGTTGAAGGATCACCACTGCCCCCGTGTGGTTGGCTCGGGGCGCCCCTGTCACAAAGCTCAGCTCGTTCTTCCTGGTGAGCCCCACGCCAGAGTCTAGGGAAAAGCCTGGAACAAAAAGGAGGGCATGTCCGTGGTTAGTTGAGGCCAGGGTGATATTGCAGAAGGCGTTCGTTGACGGATGTGCAAAGTCTGCCGCCCCAAAATTACATGATGAACTTGGAGGCAGCAACACTGGTTCAGTTCCGGGCTTCTAAATTTAGTGCATGAATGCACACGCGCACACACTCTCTTGTAGATAGCACAAGTGCATGGGGGGGCAGTTAATGAAAGCTGAGATTTCCACACTTTTGATGCACAAGGGTTCATTGGAGGAAAGCCTCTTAAAATCACAACATGTGAATAAACGAATTTCCCAAGTCCTCAGTAGCCTGATTTGTGCCCCCCACCCACCCGCCTCCTTTCAGCTACTCCAGGTTGATCTGGGTGCGTGCAATAAGGAATACATGTCATGAGCCCCCGCTGCTCCTAGGAGCTGGAATCACATGTCACATCATCTGAAATTTGGGATAATGCCAAGATCTCCAATGCAGTGCCTACTACTATACTCACAGACGCCTCTCTTAGAACCCTCCATGGCAGACATTTTGTGAGAGTGCCCATGACACAAGCGGGACTCAAGTGATTCAGACTCTAGTCCTCACTCACCCATGAAGCTCACTCAGAGACTTTGGGTCAGTCACTGATTCTCAACCTAACCTACCCCACAGGCTTGTTGTGAAGAGAAAATGGAAAGGAGGCTCATGTAAGCTGCCTTGGGTTCTGTCCAAGAGAAGCAAAAGGTGCCCTGCAAGAGTAAAAGCTGAGCTTGGCAGAGTTTATGTCCAATGGTTCCCCCACCCGCATATTGGAGCATGGGAGCATTTAATGGACCAAGCAGGATCTCAAGTCCTGCATAAAGAAAGCTCAAATCAGCCTTCTCTAGACGTTTTGCTCCCCCCGCCCCACAAGATATTTCAGGCAGCAGGAAGGAGATGGGAAAAAGAAGAAACAACTGAATATGCCAGCAGACCGCTTTGAGGAAGGCAGGCCTGCCACCTTTCATTCACTGGCAAAACTAATGACTGCATGTTAGAGATCCAGAGGGTGACATGCTTCCCTTACAGCCAGTGCAGGAGCAAATTCCTTTAACATGTGGGCTACGAATAACGTTTGCCTGCTGCCCCCCATTCACTGCTCGAGTGCAGGGCACCTAGCACAGGTTCCTCAGGACATCACCAAGGAAGTTGACCAAGCCTCCCTCCATCTCCAGTGATGGAAGTTACATCAGATGTGGACCAGATGTCCATACTGATTCAGAGATTTTTTGATCAGTCCTATCTCAGCATGTTTAAACCAAGTGAGTTGATCCCTCACCGCATTCCAGTGTTCCCAAGGAACCAAGGGGGTAGGACAACAACCTCAAAGGTCCTCCGGATGCCTGCCCACCCCCCGCCACCCCTCAGCACAGGGACAGGAAAGGTCACACACAGGGTAGAGAGTTGGAAAGGACAAGAGCTGGATGTTAACAAGGGTTGCTTTTGGTGCTAGTTTTGCCACATGTGCAGAGTTACGATAGGAGGGAGCAGTCAGTCCTGCGGTCCAGCCTCTGGCTTCTGAAGGGGGCAGACGCCTGTTGCCACCCCACCACGTGCTTTCACAGCAAAGATTCAAACGGGTTCTGAATGTGCGTGTGTGAACATACACACATCTGGGTAAACTACATGCTGGGAAATTTGCCTTCTGCTGGTCTTTGTGTTTTTGAAGTGTTTACTTTTGTAGACTGCCGTGCATTGTTTGCAATCCAGCAAAAATTCCCAAGAATCTCAGCTTTCATTTCTTTATACAACAAAAATATAACCCAGATATAGTTAAGCCATTTAAGTTACATTGGTTTCAGTGAGAGAATTAAGCATGAGCTCAAGTCGATCCCACCAAAAACTCTGTCTTGTACGTGCGTAACATCAACTAGACCATTCTTTGTGTTTCTAGCTCTCAGGGTTACATGGATGTATTTTGCAGTATCTGCAACGGAATGTAGAATTTCAGATACTAAGTCCAAACCTCCATGACTTTCTATAACTCACTCATCTTGTGGCTGCTGCCACTCTTTCATTCCATATTCACTGTGGTCCTCTCTCTCTCTCTCTCTCTCTCTCTCTCTCTCTCTCTCTCTCTCTCTCCCTCTCTCTCACACACACACACACACACACACACACACACACACAGAGTAATGCAAGCTTTGACACTACAAGCACATACCAACTACAAAACATTATGAAAGAAAGCAGATCAGGACGACTATTTTAATTTCTTTTGGGCACTAAATCTGATATACATTTTAGTTTAAATATTCAATATGTCCTCAAAAACACACAAAATGCCTGTTGCACTCCCTTACCTCTTCTTCTCTAACTATTTCGAACATAGATTAAAAATTTATTATCTACAGTTCCTTCGATAACCAAATTACTAATTCTACGCCTTCTGATACGAATCGTCCCCACCCTTCGATCATGACTAAGGCACTTAGAGAGCAACTTCTCCCAAACCTCTTATCCTAACTGCTCACGCAGCTTGACTATTTGCACAGCGGTCTCTGCAGCTCACTCTTCTCCACGCCTGATATTCTGGGTTATTCTCAGAGCAACCCCAACGGGAGTTGTGAGCAGCGCCCCCTGCTGGCGGAGAGCAGCGGCTCTCAGGAACCTTCGCGTACTGTTTGGCCAAGGGGACAGGGGACGAGGGAGTGACGAAACACAACAGAAGAGGAAAACAACAGAGACTAGCTAAAAAAAAATACTGAGGAAGGAGAGTGTCGAGAGGCAGAAATCACTGAGACGGGCACACCAACACCTTACAAACCTAAGTAGCTATTCTGGGCCACGTCTCCAACATTTCCGGGGACCCGTTCGCTGGGCTCTGGCGTTTTATAGACCAGCTGGTCTGGGTCTGAGCTATCAATGCTTGTCATAAACAATATCCCTGCAAGGCCAATGGAAGGAAAGAGAGAGAGAGAGAGCGTTAGCAGTATAGAGAAACCTTGGCGCCCGGCAGGGAAGCACCGCAGAGCATTGGGCAGGAGCCAGGGTGACCAGCAGGGCATGGTGGGCCGCCACTTGCTGGGTCCCTTCCAGCACTTCCTCTCTATGATCCCCCATGGAAATAATTGTGAAGGAAGCCAATTTGTTTTACTTCTCCGGGCCAATAGAATAAAGCGCCTGCTTACCGAGCGTTCCACAATCGCGGCTTACTTTTTCAACTGCGAGTCTTGATTTATTGAGTATATTGATGGCCTGGAGTTTTCTCCAGGTGGATGTTTAGGCTTGGGATCCCACCCACCAACACCCTGCCCCATGGAGGCCTGTCTGATAGCTCTGCAGTGCTTGCCCTGCTGGGCGCAACCCCGTACCAAGGTAGCTGTTGGCAGGCAACGGAATGAGAGAGGGGTCCTGGTCCTTTTCTCCCCCGGCTTCATACGGCCCGTCGTCGTAGTGACTCAGATCCAAGCCACTCACCTCTGCCCGCATGGTTCCTGCCAAACCAAACACCTGTTAGTGATTGGCAGGTGGGGGAGGTTTTGGGGAAGTTACTGGCTGCTCAACACAGTCTGGGGCAAAGCCTTTGGGCGAAGGGGCCCTTCAGTTTGTCCACCTGCCTCAAATGGGGCCTGAGGTGGGAACCGGTTTATCTACCAGGTGTGTATAGAGGGTCTGGGTTGGACACTCGGGGCTAAAGCGGGTATCACTTTAAAGGTGACTCTACCACCTATGTTTGTACTCTGCTAGGGGACAGCAGACCTGATCCAAATCTCAAAAGCCTGCTCTGCTCCCCAACGAGGGTCTCAGCTCACAGTGGGGTCAACATGCACAACAGAGCAGCTCTAGAACTGAAAGAGGGGGCAGTGGGAGGAATTAGCTACCAGGTGCCCATTCAAAGTGACATTTATTTTGGCCCCATGTACAGGAACGTGCACTAACGTGTCCCAAGTGGCAAAGAGATGCTGCCCAAGAGGGTCCTGCCCATCGGTCTCTCTCAGTGGTAGCAGATGTGGATTTGGTCCTCATGCAAACCCACCAGTTCCCCTGCCTGTTTGGGAATCAAAGGCCAAGGCCACCACACATTCCACAAGCTTTTTCTTGGGGTCGTCTGAGGTGGATATGGTCATTGGCAAGGCTGCCTATCAGAGGGGCTATGACAAATGGGGGCAATGATGATCTTTTCCCCTCTGGCACAGAGGACCAGAACTAGTCATGTTCAGGAATGGGGTTCCTCAGGTCCCAGACGGTTTGCAAGCAAAAGGTCTCAGGTACAATCCCCAGTGTTTTCAAGGTAGGGATGGGAAGCAACTGCCCTGCCTGAGATCCTGGAGAGCAGCTGCCAGTCAGTGCTGAAAACACTAAGCTAGATGGACCAACTTTTTATACAGCAGCTCTCTATTCCTCTGACTGGGAATGCAGGCACCTTCCCAAAGTGAAATGGTGGACATGTTGCTTTATGAATGGCAAGAGAGGCATCTATGGCCACGCTCCACTGTCTGCATATGGGGGAGCAGGTGGATTTCCAGTGCCCCACTAGAGGCTATGCTAGCTGGGCTATGTGACTAAGACCAGTGTCCGGACCCTTCCATTGAATACCGCCTTCCGCTCAGCATACGCTTGGCTGCTTACCCTTCCAGTTGTAGGTGCCGGGTGCCCCGAAGAGGATGTAGTGCCTATCCGCAGTGAAGCCGGTTGCCATCCCTTGCTGGCAGAAGCCAAAGCGATCGTGCCCCTGCGGCCGCCCTTCGCAGAACTTCCATTCACCGCCATCCGGCTCGTCTGACTCTTGCAGCCCCTCGCCGAGTACATAGCAGCGCCCGATCACGTCCCGCGTCTCCAGCGGTTCATTGACCCGGTTGCGGGATTCATACAAGTGGGCACAGGTCTGGGAGACATGGGAGAGGAAGAGACAGGACGGAGTGGATCAGGAAGTTGCTGCCTCCTGGCACTGCTGTGCAAGGCGAACTCGTGCAGGGTCCACATGGGTCACCTAACAGAAGGCAATGGATGTCCCAGTACGGAAGACCACAGGAACCTGTTTGCCCCAGTTAAACCAACCAGGGGTGGAGTGGGGACTAGGTAAGGCAACACTGCATGGGATGGTGGCATTTCTTGCATACGCGAGACGTGCACAGAGCTTGCACAAAATACCAAGGTGAACAATCCAGGATTAGAAATGGATCAAGGCTTTGGACATCCTGAAAAGCGGAGAAAAAGTCTAAAAAAACCCACTAGCAAGTTGGGCTTTCTCTTCCCAGACTTGTTCAGGAAGCCTAAAGATTAGCTACACATGCTGCATCCACGCACCATGTCTGGGTTTGTCTCTCCTCCAGATCCAGCCATAGTACAAGAATTTCAACTCAGGGAGAGGGATGTAAGAGATATGAATTGAACACTGGATATTCTAAAGCAAAGAGGAAATCCAACTCATTGCAGCGCCTTCCCCCACTCCCACCCTGCCTATCCCAAATGGTTAGATTGTCTTGAAGTCACTAGGTGAGCAAATTCAAATATACCTGGAAAGGGTCTTTCTGTCCCTTCCTGGAAATTACCCCATTAGGCTGCAGCGGCACCTGTGCAGCACGCAACCCCAAAGCATGTTTGTTCTCCAGCCTGGGATCCCTGAACTCCATAAGCCGAACCCAACAGGCAGGCAGTCCCGCTGGCCCGGCAAGGGCCATGTGCTCAGCATTATTCGGGCTTAGATAGTCCAGAGACTTCCACATTGCAGGATCATTGCCTGAACAGGGTTTGAAGACCTAAGCACCAACGCTGGTGAGGAGCTCACTCGGATAAGGGTCTGTCTCAAAGTATGGGCCTCCTGGGGCAAACCCTGGCTCCCCTGGCACTGTATGAAAACACACAAACACAGCTTAAGAAAAGAAAAAGATGAGAAAGAAGAGGCTCCCGCAAAGCTGTCCTTGTAAAGGAGGAGATTAGTGTTTTCCCTAACATACTAGCTTTCCGTGTATGTGAAGAAGCTGTCGCATGTTGTTCCTGATGGTGTAAATTGGGTCCGGTACAGCCACATTCTTGTGGGTAGTGACCTCCAGTTAATAAACACTGAACACATTTTGACTCCCGTGCTGTTCTCAAGCAACGAGAGGTACGGAAGCATGTGGTCCTCTCTATTAAAAGAGAGCATGCTCTTGATTTGTGGTGGTTTGTGCATGTGAATATTGCCAGTGTAGGGCCTGGCTCCACCCCTCCAGGGGAGCTCCAGTTGCGCTACAGAGAGGAGCACAACTTTCTCTCTAAGCAGAGGAGCAGGTATCTAGGATGTCCCCATGTGGCTTCACTGAACACGGTCCTTCTGGTGTGGAAGCAATAGTGGGATGCCCCCCTTCAGTTGTGCATGAAATGTTTGTGCAGTACAAAGGCAGGGGCATCTTTCTGGGTGGCGCACACCTACAGAAAGACCTGGTACTGGTTTCCTTCTGTGTACAGAGCTGCAGCAAGGGAAAGAGCTTCTCCTAACCTCACCTTCCCAGTGGAGAGTGGCCTCCTTCAAGATCTTCCTTAAGTCATCCATGAGACCCTTTTCCCCAGAGCAGGGGGCCTCATCTCCTGCAGGAACCTAGTAAGAATTGCAGTCCAGGCCCAAAGGGGTTAAGCAGAATGACCACCCACCCATCCAGCCACGGCCACTGACCACGATCTTGCCTCCGGGGCCCTGGCTCTTGACAGTGACTCCCAGCCATTGATTCTCCTTGCTCTCCTTCTTCAGGTCAACTGTGGAATGTGAATGAAATAGAGATATTTATTTGTTTGTTTGTTTGTTTGTTTGGAACACTTATATGCTGCCCCATTCACAAAAGCCTTGGGGCGGCTTCCAATACAAATAAATAACTATACAATTACATAAAAATACATAAAAATCTGGAGACATCTCGGCTTAAATATAAAATCAATAAATAAATTCAACAATTAAAATGATGTTTAAATAAAAAGGTCTTGGCCTGGCACCAAAAAACAAATAACGACAGCGCCAGGCGGACCTCTCTGGGGAGCGCATTCCATAAGTGGGGCACCACTGCAGAGAAGGCCCTCCTCCAGGTACTCACCCTCCTAATATCTTTCACGGAGGGTTCCCAGAGAAGGGCCTCTGCTGCCGATCTCAAGGGGCGGGAGGGCAAACTTTAGAGGGGAAATCCTATCCCATGCCTCCACTGCACAGAACACTGTGGAGGGGGAAGGAATGAAACTCCTTTCCTAATATGGTAGGACACAAGACACCTCAACAAATCCAGCAGCCCAAGAAGAAAACAAGAAAGGGCCAAGCTATGTGCGATGCAAGAGATCCAAGAAGCAATTTTCTGCTGGCATGGTTTTCTTCAGCTAAAAGGAGCTGTGAGGGTCTGCAGCACTGTGGCATCTAAATCCCCCCAATTAAAATTCCCCCAAAACAGATATTAGCCAGAGAGGGGGAAACAAATGGGTGCAGTGGAAGTACTGGTCCCTCCATGGCTAATAGCAACTCCAGGGGAGGCTGAATTCCCACCACCACACTATAATCCTCTTTCTCTCAATTTTTCACACACACACACACACACACACACACACGGCTGCTCTTAGCACATGGAAAAGGTATTTGAGAGATCCAGTTAAAGATCTGCCGTGACATGTTTAGTTTGGCTCCAAGGGATGGACTGCTCTGGGAACCTCATTGCAACAATACAGTGAAAAAGCAGAATAGGGTTCCAGGGTCACATAAAGCAGCTTCCATGCAGTGGCACAAAGTGTCCACTCAGGGCCAATCCAGCTCCACAGGGACTCTTCTCGTCACAGTCCCATAAAGAACATGGTTCAGAATTTAACTAACCCAGGTAAGATTTAGGGCCCATAATCCAGACTCACTTTGGCAATGCTTATGCTAAATTTGTGAAATGTAATTCATACCACCCGGTGTGAAAGGAGTCTCTGTAAGCCCAGAACGTGTGGTTGAATAGTGGGAATAGAAATGCACCCTGTACATCATTCTTTCTCAACCTGTTGCACTCCATTTATTTGGGACTCCTGACTATTGAAGTCCACCAGGTGAGGAAGGCCACTGGACATGCTCAGCACCAATCTTTTTTTATAATTATTGTTTCACATATTCTGGGGCAAAATATTGGGACTGGTTTGGAACAGGTTCCACGCTTCCAGTTCTGTAAACTCAGACTCCAATTAAATCATACACAGATTGGAGGAATCTTGTATAATCCAAATTCCAAACTTGCAGCTTAACCTGGATCCAAAATAAATCCTGGAGGATGCTGGAATGACAGCTTGGGAGGGGTTGATTTTCAATCAGACACAGCCGTGCTGTTTTCCTACCTCCCTCATCGATGGGAACACGTCTGCAGTCATTCGTCTCATAGGTAAGAGGGCAGGCATACAAGCCACCTGTCCTCATGGCCTTTTGACTCCACCAAGCAGCAGCCTGCGGAGCTCCCACCAACAGCCTGAAAGAAATGTGGCAGAGCGTTAGGGCAAGTGCCTCTGGGAGCCCCAGGGTGGCAACCATCGCGTGCTCTTCTCTGTGACGAGGCTCCTGCACCTGGACGGCTGTGGGATGCCGGATGCAAAGGCTGTAAGGGCACCAGCCGAAGTCACGTTCTGCACCCCCACCCTCTTCCCCATCTCTGCAGTTTATATGCAAAGGCAAGCATAACATGCCCCTCCTGCCTTCTCAGTGCTGAACCAAAAACTTATGTTCTCTTCTAGGCCTTGATCCTGGAATTTGTAATATTTATCTTAACATTTCCACTTTATGCTAATTAAAAGATAACCAGGGCATTCTACAGCCTGTCCAGGAACATTCATTACTAAGGGAATTAAAATTCTGCTACAAGACAAGATAGATTCAGTGATGTTAAGTTACATTATGCTAATTTATAGATATACACTTATTTTGTACTCTATCACCACCACATGGGGGGGGGGGTGGGGGGGGGGGAGTTACCAAGATGTGCAAAGAGCCATGCCAAACCATCTTCTCATCCACCTTTTCAGATGTTACCGGGCATCCCTGCCAACACTCTTTTGAGTTTATTTTCACTGTCTTAAACTCTTACACGTGTCAAACCAAGTTCCATAGGGCTTACTCCTAGGTAAGTGGGTTGGGGACTGCAGCCTTAAAAGGCTAAAGGTATCAAGGGCAGGCAAGTGTTAATATATAGGGCAGCATTTAATAAAGGGATAGAGAGGATGGGAGGACTTAAGGGGAGCATAAAATGAAGGAGAGCTGAGAGTCTCTGAGACTTAGAGGAAAAAGTTTTCAGCAAAAAATAAAAATACAACAGGCTGGACATACATCAAAAGAGAAAAACTGACCCGCTAGTTCCAGCATGAGAGTGAGATACAGGAGAAAGCACAAGTGGCTGTAAAGGCACGGGAGAAGGAAACAAAGGGGGCTAAAAGCACATGGGAACCAGCTTTCTGCTGCGTTGGCTAAGCTTGCTGTCTCCCTTGGCCTTTGTGCTGTGCTTTGCCTCAGTGACCTTGTGCATTAATGTGCTTAATGAAAATGCCAATTAGTTAAAAGGGAAATGAAATCAAATTCCACCACAGGCCATTTTGCAGGGAGCAAGGAGGGGGGAGCAGCGAGCAGCTGGGGAGGTGGAAAACGTTCAAAGCTCCCCTCGGTAGGCAGATGCAAGGCACACTCTTCAAGAATGATGCGCCTCTGACCACAGAGCGTGCATTCGTCACCTGTTCCTGGATCTCCACCGCAGCTGTCACTCCCCGCCCCCGGAGCTCCTGGAATCCTCAGTCAAAGACATGGAGCAACCCACGATCCATTTCACGGCTGCCTGCCTGACAAGAACAGCCTTTTCCTTGCAGGCCGACATCCCACAGGCCAGAACTAGGAATGGAATGACTCCCATGTGGAGCCACATTCTGAAGATCCTATTCTCCTCTAAGCCATCAAGTTTTGCCCTGGCTTTTTAAACTAACCACATGACATATACCTTAGAACGCTTGGTAAGGACTAGCTGTCTTTTAATGCTTATCCACTTTGGCATAAACATCATATTCAAAGGTACTCAAGTGACAGAAGAGTGGCTTCTCTGCTGACCTTCTTGCACATGTACAGAGGAATGGAAAATCATAATCCTGGGGTCCCCATTGTAGTGCCCACAGGTACCAATGTGCCTGCAGAAATCTCTGGTGCCTGCCTCCAAATTTTTATGGCATATACATTTCTCTTAAGACCGTCTCCTAACACCACCTTTGTCAGGGATCAAGAGTGGCTTTGTGTTTTGCAGCTCAGACTGCACCTGTGCCTCACACTTAGATTCTAGGGCAGTGATGGCGAGCCTTTTAGAGACCGAGTGCCCAAACTGCAACCCAAAAGCCACTTATTTATTGTAAAGTGCCAACACTGCACTTTACGATAAAACCTGAATACTGAGGTTTTAGTTTAGAAAAAAACAACTCACAGCCAGTCCAAGCAAATATATATCCTTGGCAGCGCACTGACTGGCCATGCAAAAGCTTGGACGAGTCACAGCTAATAAGTTGTGGCTCATGACATCATCGCCTGGTGCAGCTACACCTTTCCGAGCATGCGCATGGCCCCTGTGTGCGCTGTTATCTGATGCTCGGCTGCTGGGGCGATACTGGGGTGACTTGACTCGCATGCCGACAGAGAGGGCTCTGCATGCCCACTGTGCCACACATGCCACAGGTTCGCCACCACTGTTCTAGGTCTAGTTATTCTACTTTTACTCTCATCAGTTTAGCTGGGGGGGGGGCAGCTTTTGGGGCATGCTTGCATGGCAGCCATTTGATGAACAGGTTCTCCCCCCCCCCCCCCGCCCCATGACAGCCATCTTGAGACTCATCATGACTTTCTGTCCACATTCCAGATGTACTCATGACTCAAAAGGATGGGAAATCCCAGTACCACCCATATTAATGGGCATGACTGTGGCACCAGTGAGTAATGCTGCTAATCAAAATGGACTACAGTGATGTGATTCATATATATGAATGTACACTGAGCATCAGCAGAAAAATAAGAAAGGCTACAAAGTCTGCATTTATAGCAATGAGACTATATGTTTGTACTGGGAAGCATGATCTTTGACAAGGGTGTGTGTGTGTGTGTGTGTGTGTGTGTTTAGGAAACCAGGTGGCCTGTTAATGTCACTTAAATGTCTATCATTTAATTTTTCCATAGCAGAGATCCCCCATTTTTTGAGGGGGATCCTAGAACATAATTTATGCTGGAAAGGAAAGGAAAGGAAAGGTTAGCCACATTGTAAGAGAAAATCCAGAATGGCCATTAGGATAATACCTTATAGGATAAATACCTATTAGGCCAATGCATGCAAACTTATGAAAACTCTAGACCTCTTCATCAAGCAAGGTTTTACAAAAACAAGGGGGACTGGAGGGGGAAAAGATTGACGTGAAGTCCTCCCAACCTGCCCCTGCCCGATGAAGAGATCTCAAGGTCTCAAAAGCTTGCACATTTTTTCTAACCTTTGGAGTTGGCCTACTAAAGGCATTATTCTAACAGGCATTCTTGATATAATGGCAATTTAACTTTTCTTGGATGGGAGGCATGTAGCACCCCTATGAGGATTCAGATCTGAGAGATATGAGATAAGAGATATTAGATAGACAGACAGACAGACAGACAGACAGACAGAGGGACCCAAGGAAACAAGCTCCAAGAAATGTATAACATCCTATACTCTATAGACACTTCAGAAAAGAAGAACAGTTCTCCTTCACATCTAGGAACACATGAAAAGGGGAAAGGTCCCATCTATAGTCCTTCATTTGATGCTTCTGTTAACTAGCTAGTCTTTCAGGGAAAAGCCTTGGAGCCCACTTCCTGATTCTGCCAGAATCACGTCGAAGCTGGAGCAGGGTGGCCCTGCTCCGCATACCCTTTCTGCCAAAAACAGAAATTGAAATCAGCCGTATACGTGGCGGCAGCTCCTACCATCTGCATGCCGTGTCTCTAGAGTGGTGTTCGCAGGGGCCACAAGGAACACCGCTCTTTCGGAGGTCCAAAACAACCCTCGTGCATGTCAGATCCCTTGGGGGAAATGTAAAGGTCCCTGCTTTCCCCCCTCACCCCAGGGACCACTGGGCTGTCATCACTTCTGGACAGAGATTTTTCCATTAACATAGCCAAAAGAGCGGACTGCATCCATCTGTATGGGGGTGGGGTGGCCCAAGAGAGCACAGCAGGGTGTCACGTTCCGGTGTGGTCTGCTTGCTGCAAAGGGCTTATCTTTCCAGGGGCGTCTGAAGAATGGCCTGACCTTGGGATGTCATTAGAGTAGCAACGACGGATGGGGGACCACAGACACTGACATTCTCCTCCCCTTTCCTTCTGGATCAAGGCATCCCACCTGGGTATCATGGCCAGCACAGTAATTCAGCATGCACAACAGCTGCAACCTCTCTCCTACAGTGGTGTTGTGACAGCAAAGCCCCACCGAGGGTCAGCTCCTGCCAGGTTTTCTGGTTAACAGGCACAAGAAAAGCTGGGGGCAGCACCCCTACCGGTCTTCCAGTCTCCTCATACTTGCCGTAGACTAAACGGCTCACATTTAGTGGCTAAACCGGATTGAGGGGGCTACTCATTGAAAGGACTGAGCCACAGTATATAATAAGATTAGAGAGAAAAATGAGGAGTCAAGACCAGGACCATCTTGCTGTTGAAGCACCGTGTGAAAAATCTGGGACCTGGCACAGAATTTGGATTGCAGAGAACGTCAGTTTCTATTTTTTTCTGAAGAGTTCCTAGCCTTGGGGGAATATATTACTATTCCAATATACTCCAGTATCTAAGAGCCAATGCGTCTGTACCTGGCAGTGATGCCGAGACTTGCCTCAGGTCTAAATGGGTCCTCAGCAAAGTCCCCTCAGGAGATTCCCCTCCTGCACAGGCGAGCCACATTTCAAAATTTCCCACAATGCCCCAGAGTGGAGATACATCAGGGTTACCATGGGGAGTTTTAAATAGCAGCTCACAGACCCAGGACTGCGGGGAGGAACTCTAGGGCCGGCACCAGCGTCAGTTAGCCCTGCCCAAGAACGGGTGCCTGGGACCTGCCAATGGTGCCAGAAGCTGATGCTGCTGGGTCTACCTGATTTGGTTACCTACCCCCATGCTCCCCTGCCCAGGAACCCTGATTCATCTATCATCTTTACTGATGAAAAAGTAGCAAGGGCAGGATGCCTACGTACAGCAGTTTCTGGGGAACATGGGCAGTGGGTGCTGTTGCACAGGGGCATCCCTGTGGGCAGCTGGCTGAATGCCAGACTGGATGGACCCAGGAGGGCTCCTCTAATGTTTGCAGGAGAGCCGGTGTGGTGTGGCAGTGAGCATGTTGGACTGGGGAACTGGGAGACCCAGGTCCTGCTCCCCACTCGGCCATGGAGCCCACTGGGGTGACGTTGGCCCGGGCACTCGATCCCAGCCTGCCTCGCGGAG